TCGCCTATTCCAATCCCTTGAAAGACGAAGTCATTCCAGAGACGTGTTCTTCCAGGCTCCTCGGTTATATGAGGTGGATTAGTGATATTGCTGGGCTCTCTGAATGCATGGATCTCCTCGTCGAAGGGTAACGGCACAGTGACGAACATCTGACCGAGTTCCCAGGTGAGGCTCATGTCTGGGTCGGTCAGAAGGCGTCGAGGAGCAGTACTGTTCAGACTGCCGTAGCTCTGCATACGAAAACGTATGCGGCCGTTATCCGGAGTAGCATTCAAATTTGCTACTCCTGGGTTCAAAATAGAGCTCTGTTACACAAGTAAGAAAATGGCATGTACTCTAGCCAGACGGACACTTACCAGGGGCTTCTCAATCCGAGTGAGTTTCGCCAGGGCATCCTGTACGTCTTCGACGGATTTCCCGATCACTCGGATGCCATGGCCTTCGACAACGCAAGCCTCAGTCCCAGTCAAAGCCGCTATTTGCGAGAGAAATTCACGGAACCTGTTGTCTGAAAAGCAACCGGGGCCACCAGTGGGCGATAACCAGAACCTAGTAACAAGAGCTGCGGGGTTAGGTATCAAGTCCTGGTCAGAGCTGTCTGACAGGGCTAGAAGCCCGCCTTCTTCGTCCTTGTCCGAGTCGGAAGCCACGGTGTCTTCGTCGACAGGCATAGTGGCAGAGACGTCAAGTTGATTGATCCGAGGCATCTAAATTTTCTGCTCGTTAGCGAGATGTTCTGTTGGAGTGGGAGAACAAGAAAGCCCCGAGACGTACGTCTAGCAAATCCTTATTCTCCTGACCATCGATGAAGTTTGATACAACCTTTGCAATTTGAGACGTGCTGCCCTCCAGATTACCCTTGACCTCAAGAACCTAGACAAGCGACTTTGTTAGCATGATGAACCGAGTATCACTGGGTGGGATATCAACACACGTTGTCGTGCTTATGGTAATGATATTCACTGTCACACTGGTTTTTGAGTTTCCTACAACAGTCAGCTTCAATCACAGAAGAAGCGTGTGTTGGATAGAGTCTTTACTTGATCTGATCTGTAACCTCCTCAACCTGTTATTGTGTTAATGCGGACCACGACATCACAACACTGGCTTTTGCTTACCCCAATATCTTCGAACGCCCACATCGACGCCAGCGTGAGCCGCTGCGTTCCTGACATTATGTTAATTGGAGATGTGAAAGATCGTGCAAATGAACTCTAAGATGGGGGTGGTCAAGAAAACCGAACGAGATTGATGGTGATAACCGATGAAAGACGAACCAGTCAAGGCATGAACGAGGTTACGAAGAAAAGAGGAAAGACGAAAGGAGGAAGTCGGAAAGAAAACAAGAAGGAAGTGGTGCTTGGGGGGAAGATGGCGGGGCAAAGGGTGGTCAGTTAATTCTCATGGCAATGAAACACCGGGGAAAGAGCCAGGGTGAATGACCAGTGATCAATAATAACACGGGCCGAACTTTGAGGGAATCAACACAGGCACTTGCACAAACACAGAGCGGGTGGATGCAGCTGGAATTCCCTGCGAGTGGACGCCACTGGAACAGTCACGGTGTGTCATTGAAGTTAACAGAAGTACGGTCTGGGCAAGAGAAGGCAAAGCCCGCGTTCTGTAGACCATGAAAGCAACTGCATCAAGACACAGTGAAGTCCCTGATCCAGAAAGAATACAAATACTCCCAGAAAAGGATGAGATGGTGGGGGAGATTTGCCGTTAGCAGCACAGGAAGAGGCCGTCCTAAGCCTTTCAAAGGAGAGTTCCGTCACATAGGAAGTTTTTGTATTACTGTAAGATTTGCATTGTTGACATGCAAAGGATAAAAAGTATATCTACACGGATACTGCCGTTCTGGTCATCCGAACACTCTAAACACAGGGTGACACGCAAGGACATGATGGTCTATTCTTCCGGGGTATCGAGCAATCCCAAACTCCAGATCTCTTCCAGAGATACTGTGGAGTGTGAATATGAGAGGAAAGAGAAACATTGAAGGGAAAGAGAAAGAGAAGTAAAGAGAGGTGGACAAGAAGAGGGAAAGGAAAAGCAAAAGAGTGAAAGAAAAGAAAAAAAAGGAATTACAAGAAAATTAAAAAGGGCCCACAGCCGGAAGGTTTCCGTCTTCGCTGACCAGGCGCAGACATGGCCAGTAACCTCCGTGCTGAAGGCATAAGTGCGCCGATGAAAGGGACGAAGTTTGAGTCGAATATGCCAGATCAATGTACCCGCCATTGAATCGAAGCTGCGTTAGGTAGCCCACAGCGTATTCTGCCCAGTAGCAGCTTTCCCAGGTACGTTCCTTTGGATCGTCATTGGAGAGGGGGGTACCATTTATTCGGCATCCTTGATTTGGTGCTTGACTTGAATGGCCCATTTCATCTGCCCCTGGGTTTCTTGCAGCGCAGCAAGGGCCGCATTGATTTTGGCCTCACCCTCACGTCCGCTTTCAATCAGGGATCTCAGTTCTTCGTCCTGGGTGCGTTTGTAGGCTTCGTACTCGGCGAAGAGGGCCTCGAACTTCTGCCTGCTGCTCTCAAGCTCACGATCCTTCTCGGCCATCAGTTCGTCCAGGCGCTCTACATGCGTGTCTTTTTCGTCACTTCGTTTCTTCAAAGCGACAAAATCATCCCGGAGCACCTTGAGCTTCTTCAGATGTTCGGCCCGTTCCCGTTGTCCGGTCTTCGCCAGCACATCATACTGAGTTCGAGAATGATGAGAGATCTCTTGGAGCTCGGCGCATTTCCGATGAAAATCGTCTCGAGCTTCATCCATCAATTGAGTCGTCTTCCGAGCCTCTCCCTCAGCATGAGATCTCCGGTCTTTTTCGCCTTGAATTTCCAACCGAAGCTCTTCGATTTTCTTATCCTTCCGTGAAATCGAGTGTAAATTGGTCTCATTCGCTTGTTCGAGATTGCGGAGTCGTTCGGTCATATTCTGGACCTGGATCTTGAACGCGTCGTTCATTCGCTGGGTCTCCTCGGCCCTCGAGCGATAGACGCTACAATCGCGGGTCAAACGCGCAACCTCCTCCTGTAGATTGTGTATCACCCGTCCCGACTTTCCCGTCGCTGCGTGGCCGACGGCGGATGACCATTCGGTTGCCGGAACATCACCAGATATGGAATTGTGGATACCGTTCGTGCCGTTCGGTGAGGGGGTAACTACCGTTTCTACACACGTGCACACGAATTAGCTGGGGTCGAGGGCATGGGAAAGGGGGAGGGGGGCGGAGATGCTTACCTGTGGATGACTCTTCCGCAGCGGATGCCTTCTGTCGCTCCGGGGTACCAATTTCAAAGAGGCCATTGTACTGATGCATGTTCAATTCCGTTTCCACATGTGGTAAGCTCACACGAGGCGCTCGTTGGGGATCTGACGTAGGTAGCACAAGCATGTCCGAGTCAGCATTTTTTGTTCCTGCCTTAGGGGACTTCTTGACCCGACCGAATCGGGCCATTCCGAGCAAAGCGGATAGGGTTGGAATGTTGGCTAAAAGGCAGAATAACCGCAAAGGGCAATGCGACAATGAAGGGAACGGAGTAGGTATCCAAGCAGCAACCTACTCCCTTGGGAGGGGAGGAAGGAAGACCACGTAGGATGCCACTCCGTAGCCGGAGTTGGGGCCGCAGCAAGGAGCAAGCCAGCAACTTAAATCGACAAAACGAACACCGCCAATGACAATAACTGAATTGTACAAAAGCAAATCAAGGGCGAGATACTAGTAGATCTAGTAGTCAAAGGTGCGCCCGCAAACTTTCTGACCCCGGAATTGACAAACGAGCACGTCGCGGGGAAGATTGGGAACTTAAGTGGCAGATGATGATAGGGATGCATGGAAAGGCACAAAATGACGAGAAAGAAGGGGAAGAAAAAGCGCAGCACATACCACGAAGTGGATCAATGCTTGTTTGCAGATCTGCAGCACGAATATTATTATTGTGATGAGGATTAGAATGGTGCTTATTCATCGCCGAGACATCAGAAAAAAATCCGAGATTGCGGTGGAAGAAGTTGAACTCGATGGATGCAGAAGCAAAGGCGGCAAGTGCTGAAACAAGTAGACAATGACAGGGTCTGGGTCACTCTCAACGCACCTAAATGTACTATTTTACCCGCTGATCCGCGTCGACAGCAGCACGAACCATAAACTCGCGCAACTGGGTGAATATCGTAGGGTTCACAGGAGACGAGAGGCTGAGTGATATATATATATATATATAGTATCAACTACTAAGTATGGATAGTGATAAGGGAGGGGCAGTAGTAGTATGGTTAATCGGTGCAGTCGAGTACTACCGAGAGTTTGAAAGGGAATGACCGGTGGTGACTCTGTCAGTTGCGAGTAGAAATAAATATTTTCTGGGAAGATGAGAGAGATCCCCGCACTTAATAAAGATGCAGCCGGAACTGCTGGGCAGCAAAAAAGAAAAGAAGGCACTAATAGGGATCGAGATGTCTGATGATGTGAGGTGTCTGCCTGGCAGCAAAAGAACAATAATAATAATAATAATAATAATTAAATGAATAAGATGAATTAAGAATAGTAGCGCCCGACCTGGGACTGCCGCCGCTAACCACGGCCGCTAGAAGCAAAACCTTGTCCTTCGGATCCAATCCCCTCTGTTCGCCTCCCCCCATCGATCTTCCTACTTGAAACAATCCAGCCTCACTGTCAATTATGACTTGTAGGAACAGTCCGATTGATGATGCGAACAATTTCACCCAACTCCAGACCTGTAATCAGTTCAACGATTGGCTAGTGGACATTATACCTGACATAATAAACTCGTTGTTTGCTATTGGCTACACTAACTAGAAGTTGGCTATCGAAAACCCTTTTTGAAGGGAAACCCCCATCACTCGTAATATCCAAACGAACCTATTCCCGCCTTCAGATATCGTCTCACGCCTGACCGTTCAAAAACCCATAATCGTGAAATCTTATTATATACAAAGGAAATCTGACCAAAGGAGCGACTCACACCAAGGAAAAGTAAAGGTAAGGATGGGACGGTTTCGAAAAAGAAAAGAACCATATGAATAGAAATTTTGTCGTGATGACTGAGGCCAACATAACTGGCAGTTCCCGAACCTCAGAACTGAAATAGACGATTAAATCCCAATGCTCATGCTACCTACTGAGGACTTCGGTCCTCCCACGTCAGATTCAACAGACGAGATAGAAACCCATAGCCACGATGCCAAGGACCAGATCAAGAGAGACCATCTGGAAAGGTGCGCCACCATTCTGCATTGCCGCCGCCATGGCACTCTTGCTGGAAACATTGGAGTTACTGTCGTGGTTGGCATCCAATGTGAAGTTTGTTGTCGCATTGTTGCCAGGCAAAACACTGTTCACTTCATCCCGGGGAGCAGTGTCGGTGGGTGTAGGAGTTGGTGTAGTCTGTGTCTGGGATGCTGTTGTCGTCTCCTGTGTGGAGGTAGTTGAGCTTGCAGCTGAAGTTGCAGCGGTTCTTTCCGAGTCATTGTTCAACGTCACTAGCCCCGAATAGTTTACCTGCCCATCCTGGTCGATCTGAAAGGCATAATCTGAGCCTGGTTCCAGAGAGTTGTCAGGTGTCCAAGTGTAAGAGCCTCCCTTTGCATCTTTGGTCAAGACTTGGACAGTGTCGAGGTCTGCGGCTGCTCCTTTACGCAGGGTGATCGTAACAGGCTAGAAATGTCATCAGCAAAGTGCACCAGAAATACTCAAGGAGTGAAGAAGGGATCGTACAGCATCAGAGTCACTGTCCCAGTTCAAGGTTGTAGGGGCGCCGGCATCAATAGTAGTCGGCCAATGCGTGAAAGCCAAGGCTGCCTGGGCAATCTGGACTTGAGCCAGACACGCCGCAACAGCAACAACTGCCTCTGTAAAGCGCATAGTTGCCGTAGTACCAATGTTTGTAGGTCAGGTATCAGAGAACGAGATGCAGTTTCTCGCAAGCAGCACTGGTTGATGCAAGCCGCTGTCAAAAATGACTCCCCTAGTACTGGTTCACTTCTTCCTGCAAAGATCTCCGCAAGATCTCAGTGAGTTGACACACCTTGGGGATTCCCTAGTAAGTACAGTCACGATGTCCTATACTCACCCTTTTCCGTGTAGAGCTACCGTCCAGAACGTCCAGAAATCGGTGTGGCTCGTACAGAACAGAGATCTCCAGAGGTGTGGATGGCATCAGGGCTGGACGATGGACTTTTATTTCCCTCCTTTACCCGTGCTTTGTTTACCTCCGAGTATGCTAGCATACCAGGAGAAAGGCGCGACAAACATGCCGGCATTGAGCACTAGCATTCCGGCTACGCTGCCCATGACTGGCACAGGTTCATGTGCAGGAATGTAGCCGAAGTACCGAGTCGAGGCTCTACATTCCCCTCCGCGCCTTTCACAAGGGGTGGGACTGTGACAGCCCAACGGCCTATCTTAGCTGGATCTCTCCGAGTTGGCTTGAATACGATCGCGAGATGAAGCAGATATCTATACATTGTCTCAGCAGCACCTGCCCCCATCCGCTTCAAGGGCGGACAAACCGATTACTTTGAGCCGTGTTAGAACTTAGTAAAGTGTCTCGCCACATGTTGAAGTCATCGGAACATTCAAGTATGTGTCCTTCATTCAAATCGTTTCAATATCTCTAGGCTCATGAATTTAGATTTCATTTTGCAAGAGCGAAGGGCGGTTATGTCACGGCTCTACATACTTGTGCATCCCCAACCTGAGGCCGTAATTCCCCAGAAAGTTGCACCATATCGAGTAGTCTATTCTGCCATCCACAGGGGAGGAAAATTAGCTTCGCGTGGTGGGCGGACTTCAAATCTGCAAGGGGTAGATCCCGAGGAACGCGAAGGAACTGTATCGGGTATGGACTGATGGAACATCATCATAACTTCTTCAATCTTTGTCAATCGGGAGTGCAGCATGTGCCGATAGCTCGGTCAGTCTCGGTTTCGCACTCGAATCAATGGTTCTCCGGGAAACTTATCAGAAATCCTCTGGAAATGCCCGATCCCGTAGAAAAGAGAACAGAGACGGGTTCCTGAAGTGAACCAGGGTTCAGAGTTTCCAAAAATATCAAAGACCGAACAATCGTCTGGTTTTCCACGAGAATCGCAACGGTGACACTCGATCCTGATTGTTCGGTTACCGAAAGCGGAAACCAGTTGAGCTTCGTCTGTATCCACATCGATAAACTACGACCTAAACGGTCTGTGAAGATACACTTCCCGATAAGCGATACGTGAAAAGGCACTATCCGGATGCATCCTGTTCTATTCTCTGCTGAAGTTACAGTTGCTTCCACTTTGAACGCCGAGTGGATAGGCTCGTTCCTTCCCTGCGGATAATGGATCCATCCAGCGAACAAGAAAAGCAAGTTAAGACCCCCAGGAGGAAGGACTTTGACTTGACTTGTTCCCTCATTCATTTATGTTCGTTTCTCCGGCCATAAAACTGTAATATTGTTGCCGTCCTATTCCTAGCAAATGACATAGACTGTCCAGTCGCTCGTTAACACCACACTCGTTTCTTAAAAAGTTTCCTTCTCTCGTTTTCAGTTACTCGAGTCTCTTAAAACTGCAATTTGAGAACCATTTCCTTTCTAACCTGGTATCTTCTTTAATGCTGCACTTTCTGCTTGGGATGTTGCACGCGACCTTGCCCGTCTCTCTCAAGCGCAGTGCGTCCTCTTCGCTAGTGTGTGAAGCTGAGCCAGCACAGTCGACCACAAGAACAACAGACCCCAGCATCTCGCAACGGTTCTATCGATCAGTAGAATGTGAAAGCCGACATGAGACAGCCGAGTTCCCCGACCAAACGCTAGAAGAGTCACCTGCTGTGCCGCACCAAGAGTCGCTCGAGCATACACGAGAAACTGCTCTGCATACGCTAGCGCTTTGTCGCAATGTCATTGCTAGCCTCGAAATAACACGACTCAGCAAATCTCGAACCGGGCTACACTACTGGCTGGGCTTCTGGGACCGAATCTATGGCCGACAGTTCTCTCGTTTACTCTCCTCTCGAGTGACCAATACATTAGCCAGGATCGATGCGCTATTTCGTGCAGTCTCCGGAGACCTTCATGAGCTCACACGACGAATGCAACATGCTGTCACCTATGCTACATCGGAGAAAGAAATCCTGCGTCTGCTTGAGCGAATGGAAGACGAAGTCAGTGTACGCCGCAAGCGGAGACGGAAGAAGGCACAGATTATCATGAACAAACTGCGTGCCAGCATCGAAGCAGTCCCTATTAAAGTTACCGATGAGCTTTTCGATGACTTGAAACGCGGCGTGTTTGCCTTGGATGTGTTTTGTGATTACCACCCTGGGGATCCGGAGGCAGAAGAGCATGAACGGCAGGCATTGCAACCGATGAATATGGTGACAGTATCACCGTATCTACAACCGTGGCACGAATCGGCAGCGGCCGGAGCGTATATGCCTCTGTCAGCATACACGGACATCCACCCGGACTGGACGGAGTATGCGGGGGACTGGATGCATAGGGTGGATTATCGCAGTCGGCAACCTCCTCCAAACAATCCTGCGGCGCACCATAGGTAGATCGAGTCTGAATCTGGGTGCGGAATGAAGATAACGGTCCTGGATAGATTTGATCATCTCCTATAGTGGCAGCTCACGGTCAGGTTGACCCATGACACTATTATTGTTCTTATAGATTAGACCGCAAACTATTGTGATTCATGCTTTGATGGCAGATAGATAAACAGTTGAAACTTTTAATAACTTTTCTTTGAACCCATCCGTGTCCCGCCAAATCTAATTATGTACGCTAAAAAATGTCAAGTCTAAGAAAAAAGGGCACAGCCGTAGGAAATAAACAATATATACCTTGCTCATCAAGCAAAATCCCACAATCCTCGGACATAGCTTCCAGGACCGGAATCCTGGCCACCATCCTCCTCCAACAACCGATCGGTAAAAATCCGCCTGGGTATTTGATACTCCACCACCGGCGTCCTCTTGAACGGCTTGTCCTCAGTGCCCAACTCTCCCTGCAACATACCCTGGTAAGTGTAATCCAGGAAATCCTCCAAGTTATAGAACTGTTTCGTGAACTGCTCAGAAATTATGTTCGCGATAGCAGCCACATTGGGATGATAATGAGACTGAAGAGTCTCAATCTCCCATAAACTGCTCTCGATGGCGTTTGTGCGGGTCGGATCGGGCTCAGTAGGATCGAAGGGATCGTCCATGCCTTCTGCTTCTATCTGAGCCTTGAGCCCCTCGTCGCGGATGTTGCGGTGCATCATGAAGGCGCAGGTCGGGTGTTCTTTGAGGAGGTTGTACATGAAGGGAACGATGGCCACGATGGCAGTGGGGGGCGCGTTGAGAGAGAGGCGAGAAAGACGCTTGAGGAAGCTTGCGATCAGGGCGGCGGGCAAGTGGGTAGAGGCGAGGAAGGTGTTCATGAGGCGGAAGAAGCGGGAGCGGTGCTTGGAGTGGAGGAGGTCGGCGTCGAGGAGCGAGTAGAGCTTTTGGTAGAATTGGGGGTAGTCGAGGTTCTTTTCTTGGATGAGGTAGAAGAGACCCGAGAGGGCGAGGAGAGAGGTGGCTCCTCCGACGTTGTAGGAGTCTGTTAAGAAGTCCATGAGGAGTTCGGGGCGGTTGAACCACGGCTCGATGTTGTGGACCATGATGCGCAGGAGGGTTTTACGCTGCGATTGGGAGAGATTGTTGCGCAGGATGGCGAGCCAGGCGTCTTGGGCTCGTTTCTTGTGCGAGTTCACGGAAAGGACCTTTTTGTTTTGCTTGCTGGATTCCGTGTAGAAGCTTTCGAATTCGTGCTCCGCGCCGGGTACGGAATCGCATGCTGAGAGGATGGAGATTAGGACGTCGAGGGTCTCGGATGGTTGTTCGGTGTCTGCGTATTCGCTGTTGTATTGTGTCAGTGGATGTGGATTGGTGTGGATTTTTCTTGGTTATGTGCAAGTGGAAACGTACGCAAGTTGCATGAACGTGTAGTACCGCACGTCTTCGAATTCCTTTGCCTTCTCGATAAATTCGGAGAGCACCGCTTGTCCATTCTGGGATTCAACAACCGCCTCGAAAACTCCCTTGAACAAACCCGATGTCCATTCCTGAGTGTTGTCGCCGGGGAGGTGGGTAGCACGTTCGTTGATGAGGCAGAGGCACAAGGTCAAGGCGCTGATCTGCTGGGGGTTAGTACCGTACGAATTTGTCCAGTTGGGGGAGATACGGACCTGAGAAGAAGAGTCGCATTCGCGAATGATAGACAGCAAGAGCTTCTGGTACTCCCGGCAGCGTTCCTTCAACCAAGCTACAATGATTTTCTCATTCTCTGCGGCGCGGCTGGTCTCCGTCAAGTTTCCACCAGCGATCAATCGGCTGAAAACCCGGCAAAGGGCCACGGCAACAGCCATGTTCGGTTTCGACGAGCCAACGACATTGAGCATGGAAATCAGGGTCGCAATGTTGTTGTAGTATTTTCGCGACTCGGAAATTTGGTCCTCCAGCTGCTGGATATCGGCAATCGCATTGGGGCTCTCGGACTCAGCGACTGCGCGGCGCTTGGAGGAGGGAACGGCGCTCGACTTGACATTTTTCCTCTTCTTAGAGGTGACGGCTGCAGTTGTAGGGGCAGGCATGGTCGATAGAACTGCAGATATCGCGCAAAATCGGGGAGACTTGACCGACAGGCAGCACAGCAGTTCCGACATCAACCATGAATTTTTGGAGATCCCTCGGTTAGCGGTTTTTCCGCCCACTGGCGCTAAGCCCGAGCGGGTTAGAGTCTTCCGCACCGTCCCAACCGCCATCCCGACCTCAGTCTCCTCATTTCCGTTCATCCATCACATCCTGTCAAGGTCTGAACACTGCTACAATGGCTTCGCGTTTGGCTAAGAGCGCCCTTGGTATGCCGAACTAGGCTCTTTTCGGCTTGCTTTATCAACTGGCTATGATTGTTAACGCCCCCTAGGTGCTGCCCGGCTCCGGCCGACCCTTCCCACGCGCAACGTCGCTCCCATCACTGCCACCTTGACCGCGTCTCGCTCGGCCTCCAACGTTCCCACCGAGGACCCCAAGAAGAAGGCTCAGTCCATCATCGATGCTCTTCCCGGCAACTCCCTGGTCTCCAAGACCGCCGTCCTCTCTGCCGCTGCCGGTATCTCCATCGCTGCCATCAGCAACGAGCTCTATGTTATGAACGAGGAAACCGTTGCTGCTTTCTGTCTTCTCAGCGTCTTCACTGCCGTTGCCAAGTACGGTGGTCCTGCTTACCGTGAGTGGGCTGAGGGTCAGGTTCAGAAGCACAAGGACATCCTGAACGCTGCCCGTGCCGACCACACCAACGCCGTTAAGCAGCGTATGGAGAACGTTCAGGAGCTCTCCAGCGTTGTTGAGCTCACCAAGCAGCTGTTCGCTGTTTCCAAGGTACATTCAGATCCTTTCCACACTCATCCGATCCAAATATTATCGGGTTAGCGGATACAGGAAGCTAACGGTACGTACAGGAAACCGCTCAGCTTGAGGCCCAGGCCTACGAGCTTGAGCAGCGCACTGCTCTGGCTGCCGAGGCCAAGCAGGTTCTCGACTCCTGGGTTCGCTACGAGGGCCAGGTTAAGCAGCGCCAGCAGCGTGAGCTTGCCGAGAGCGTCATCGGCAAGATCCAGAAGGAGCTTGAGAACCCCAAGGTTCTCCAGCAGATCCTTCAGCAGAGCGTTGCCGATGTTGAGCGTAAGTGGACCACATGTGTGCCGCATGATTTTTGATACGATGCTTACAATTACTTTAGGTATCATGTCCTCCAAGGCCCAGTAAATGGACTAGCATGAATAGCCCCGCCGTCAGCCTATGTACAAATTAAAGATCTTTCCTGTTGTCGTTAGACATACCAATACCAAATGTGGTCAGTTTAAGAGACGTGTAGCCGAGTAGCTAGACCTAAATCTCTCGGTCTAAATTCAGTATTGATCTAGATGGTTGAATTTGTACATTCTCCCGTCATTTTGCCGTTGAGAAATATGTTTCGCACCAAACTGTAATTCCACGTAGTTGAACACTTCTACCATCCAATATACTATGCTATTACTTACTACATACTAGGCTTGTATTACATGCCTCTGCTATTCGGCAGTTGAATCATGGGGTGGCTTCAGGGTGACTGTTTTGGGATTATGCCTTTTGTTTGATATGATGCATCAACAAGCCAACACTGCGGTGGAGTAGCTGGGCTGTGCCCTGCAGGGCTGACGAAAGCCCTCTGCTGACGACAGTCTTCAATATCTTTATCAATATCTTTATCAATAAATCCGTCTTCTTTCTTCTACTGGGTCATGAAACCCCTACAACTGCGGTTGTGGTTGTTGGAGGGAACAATGAGGGACGCTCTTTCAGTTGCCGGGAATTCATCAATCAGGACATTAACCAGGGGTTTCGTGTGGAGCATCCACAACTACCAGCGCCATCAATTCACAACGCTCGTCCAGCAGCGTCAAACCAATCAGCCAGGCGCAGTTGCTTGAGTCTTTATGTGTGACATGACAAGATGAAGAAATTGCCGCCGCGGAGGCCAAGACACCAGCCAAACCACGGTTTGGCTGTGATTTAAGGAACGATAAAAATAACCATGACAGGCAATCCATCATCAAACAAAGTTCACAGCCTCGACTCAGCGCCTGTGCCCTGCCACCATCCTTGTATACGGCTGAAGCGTCTGTTATTTCAAGCCCTGATTCCCTTTCACCAACTGTCTCCTCCGATTCCTTTCCTCATCATCTTCTCCCCATTTTCTTTACGGTTGTGGCGCTGAGTATCCACCCTCCGCGATAAGCCGCCGCGCAACGATGCCGCTCCGCGAGATACTTCACAAGAAGGACGCCCTCAACAACACGGCCGACCACTATGCGTCTGGTGCCGTTCCCACGACCTCCGGGAGGAATGTGCCTCAGATTACCTTCATTCGAACCGACACAACCTCCCAAGAAGTGATTCGTCCGCCTGTCTTCGACGGAGATGCCGATCACCCCGACGATCGATATCTAGAACCCGTTCCTCCTTCTCCTTCGCATCGCAAATCGTTGAATCCGTTCCGTCGCTCGCGTGCTCCCTCAGAGTCTTCGGGTACAAGTTCACCAACGCGCCCGCGCGGAGAAAGACGGCTGACGCACTTGCTGCACTTGGATCGCTCGGGGTCGCGGAATTCCAGCTCGTCATCAGTCAACGTCCCATCCGACCTTCCGCAGATAAATTGTGATAGAGGCGATGAGCAAGAAAGGGAGGCACAATGGGAGAAGAGGGCCACGATGCTAGCACAGCGCAGCCCGCAAGCCGGAGCTTCGTGTCTGTCGCCTACTTCGCCGACAGGCTTCGGATTGGATGGCGCGCCATCGAGGTCGCGGAGTTCTAGTCGGAGCCGCATAAACGATCCAGAAGGGGATGTAAGTGGTCAGATTGCATTGTTCTCAATGCATTTTATCTAATTGTGGCATAGATCAATGTACAAGAAGCGATCCGACTTCATGAAGCTGGAGGTATGGGCATAACTTGGGGTTCGGCTGTCCGCTTGCTCAGTCACTTACACCTGGTGTACAGAACTCGAACGGTCGACAAAGATGTTTGAGCACCTGGCGGACCCTAACGGTGCCAACAATGCACTCAGTCAAGTGCTCTATGGGCTAGCGCTCCGGTAAGTAGCAACCGTACCTTTGTTGAGCTCCATTTACGCCCGACTCTTATCGTTGTCTGCGTATTCGATGAACACTATTGCTACGTGATACTGACTTGGGCTTGATATAGACATGGTTGGGGCTGCTCGCCAGATCCTGATAGAGCCGTCATGTATCTCTCGGCCGCAGCGTCCAACTCGGCATCAATAGAGTCTCAGGCGCTCCAGGCCGGCATCAAGAAGGGCGGATCTGCCAAGGGAGAGCTAGTGTTGGCTATTTTCGAGCTGGGAAACTGCTTCCGTAATGGCTGGGGCGTCAAGAAAGACCCAGTCGCAGCGCGACAATACTTTGAAACGGCAGCCAACCTGGGTGATACCGACGCGATGAACGAGGTTGCTTGGTGCTACCTAGAAGGGTTTGGCGGGAAAAAGGACAAGGTTAGTGTTGTTTGCGTAATGGTTCATTCGTGATGATTATCGCAACATGATCTGCCCGTGTCCTGAGGGCCTCGCAGCTCGGGCATCAATGCCTGAAGCCCGCATCACTCTTTGGATCCATCGGTGCTATCTGATCATCTGTATGAGCAGTTGACTGACTTGCAACGCCATGTACTAGTTTACGGCCGCCAAATACTACCGATTGGCCGAAGAGAAAGGCAACAAATTAGTGGGAAATTCCTGGTATGTTAAATTATCCCTATTCAGCGTCGTATTTTCATTGTTTGATGCCCATTTCTGGGTCCTCCACGGGGCCAGTGTGATGAGCAATGCCTCAGACCCCAGCGCTCTGCACCCGGCTCTCCTCACTTGCTGGTGTTGTTGCGGGATGCATTGATAGGCGCTCGGAGTTTCCGCTTCCCTGCGCCATGCAAACCAGCGTCACGCTCTCCGCCAACCACAGCCCCATTCCCCCCCATCAGCGGGTTTCTGGAGTTTAGGCTGACATGATCTTGTTCAACGACAGGATATGGAAGGACAAGTACAACCCGCACTGAACCGCTAGGGCTGTGTACCTGCTGTTTCTAGTTACTACGACCTTTCATCCGTACCGTCCCATCAGATGACGATTGCGTTTTGGACCGAGCTGAAGCAAGGCTAGAATGCTTCCACCTTCTCAGCCGGCTTCTTGCGGCCCAGACGTCCTTCTCCTTCCCACTTCGTATCCCAGCTCTGGGACACAGACCTCCTTACCTACTACCTTTTGCCGATTAATTTTCTTCCATTCTTCGCTACCATCACCATGAAGGGAACGGCAATGATGATGACCCAAGCATCCAGCCTCATCTTTTTTCCTTACTGACACCCAATCTCAGAGCGTACTTTTGCTTGCTTCCCTTCCCCCGGATGTTCATACTACTTCCTTTCTTGGACTTTTCTTCTAATGTTACATTACATGCATACATACCCACTCTGCCTGTGCCACATCCACCAAAGCAGAGCAAATAATCGCTATCATTATACCATACCCACCCCCATTTCCTCTTTTGTCTCCTCTCAGGACCCACAAAGTACCTTGCATTGAGTAACGTGTATGTGCATGGCATAACATCGCTTCGCATCATGTTGTTTGCGTCCGTGGGCTTGCATGGTCCCAGTAACATACATTACTTTAGACTCACCCGTCACGTTGCATATTTCAAACTACAAGGTAGACCACTACTAGGGTAGGTAAGTAGGTAGGAAGGTACGTAGTACTATTTACTTCCTGAACAAAATGCATCAATTAACCAATAATACATTATAATACATGATGACATGAGGTACGCACATATAGTCCACCCAAATAAGCATAGTAAATAAAAAAATAGTAATCAAGAAAGTTATACCCATTTCCATGATATCATCAATGAGGTTCGTGTCGAGTGTCGTTCAGGGTGTATTATTTGGTAGCTCCTCTCTCTCTCTCTTTGAAGCTTTGCAGATTCGATTCAAAGAAGGAAGATTTGGGATTTTTTTCCTGTTCAATGAGAGAGAAAACGGGTAAGGAGAGTAGGATTGGATGAACAGGACAGCACAGCCATGTGCAGAATTGTAGCTGGCCAATTGGCTCCGTGGGAATTATTGTTGAGAGTTAAAATGCAGTGTGTTGCGGGAAATGTCTCATTCTGTGTTCTTGAAAGTTTTGTGAAATCGATTCAAGAAGGAGGCTGGAGATGTTCCTCCTTTCAGTGAGATGATTGTTTGTTCTTGAGAAAGAGATTGGACGTGACAAGCGTGTGCTGTTTGACGTTATAGCTGGCCACTTGACTCCGCGCAGCAGCTGTTGTCGAGGTTGATGTGGAGTGGTTTCGCTTAGCGTCGTACTGATGTTTTCTTGGAAGATTATGGAGGCGATTACTGAAGAGAACAAAAAAAATTGATCAACATGAGACCATGCGTTGTATCAAAGTATAGCTGGCCAATTGTTGTTGCTCAACCGCTGTCGAGGTTGATGTGGAGTGTCTTGTACGAGTCATAGTTATGTTGTTCTGGAAAGTCTCCAGAGCTGACTGAAGGAATGAGGTAACCTGACGAGTCTAGTGGATATTGTTTCCTCTGTCGGTTGGATCAGGTTGGAACTGTTATTGGAGTCCCATGTTTCTTTCGTTGTGTTGGAGTAGCACTGTCGGAAGTGTAGGATGGTATGCGAAGGTTTTCTTTTCATCAGAATAGTCTTCTGGGTGTGTGATGGCACAAAGAAGCAGAGTGCAGGAAGCGTTGAAGTTGGCTCTTCTTCCTGTGGTAGGGTGAGCTCGAAATAGTCATGTCTCTTTCGTTGTGCTCAAGTAGTACTGTTGGAAGTGTATTATCAAATGGGCAGATACTCTTTTTACCAGAAGAGTGTTTCTTGGTGAGCTCACAAAGGGGTAGGAAGATGCTTGACTGTTTGGACAGACGACTTTTTCTGTTGGTTGGGTAGACTTGAAATAGTCGTGCGTGCTTTATCGATGTGCTGTAGCGGTAGAAATACTATCGACAGCACGGGGCAATGCTGAACTCTGGGTCATAAGTGTGTTCTTTGTTTCTGCATATCGCAAGTATGAAGAAAGCAAATGCCGAGTAACAGAAAGCACTTTCTATATGGTAAGGGAAGAAGACCTGCGCGTTTTTCGCATCTTTGAGCTTCTTTTTATGTCCGTGCTATCTTTTTCTCCTTACTCACTGACAATGAAGTCTTATATGCGCTCTGACTATCAGCAGGCAGCACGCCATCATCTGATATTATCAGGATGGCTTCTAAAGACCCGGTGTGTCCAAGATAGTTCGTCGTTGTTCCAAGTCACTGGAGTTGTTCAGTTCTTCTCTCCAGGTGAGGCGAACATGTCATTGAGCAGTTTCGCGTTGAAGGAAGGTAGAGGGATTTCCTTTGCTGAATCCTTTGATATAGATGGACCCCATGACAACATGACAGACAGACAGGCGTATAACCCGTCAGTGACCCAGAGAGTATCATTGCCGTGTTCGTACCGTACATGCCATTCTTCGAAAAGTATGTACGTGAACTTCCCCATAAGCAATATGTGAGATGGTCGAGAAGGACACTTAGATATTGTCGGGACTGCAAGCGATAGCTATCCGTGTCGATCTTAAGTTCCTAAGTATTAACTTCCTCGGAATAGTCTGACACAACTGGTATGGCGCGCAATCCTCCATTCTCCTCGACCGGGGGAGTCAAAGCAAATGTTGCTATTATCGCGTCGTTTCAACCCAGTCATGGCCGTCATATTCTTCCAACCACCTACAGGCAGTCGAAGCATTTGTTCCAGGTGCCATCAAGACGAGAGTAGCATCGCATGGAGAAATGAGCCCCGTACATTGGCTTGAGAGCTTTCCCCCGGCGGGCCATTGATTATTTGAAGAGTGATCAAGGTGCTGCTCGACGTGGAACCTTCTATGGAAAGGTACCCGATTTTTGAGAGGAAGATTTGGCTGGTGTTTATATAGGCTAACAGGCGCAAGCCTTCCAGCTCCGCCGGCGCTATATCGGAGAAAGATGTAACTTATCACTTGCCTCCGAAAGTGACTTTTTGCCGGATCTGACTCGTAGCCGTGATTGTACAGCGCCCAGACAGCATTGGCTGATGGTTTTCGCCGCATCCATCACGCATCTGGAGCATCAAAAGCAGGAAAGAACCAGTGACCTTTGTCAGCTGCAGGCATGCAGTGGAAGAATACATTTTAAGCTGGTGATTCCCAGGGAAAATGTTCCGTAGACATACCCTTTGTCTGCTTCGTCTAAGCCTTTCCTTGAACACACCCGGCATTCGGAAAATGATACTCGGGAACAGGAAGATACGATGTTGGACTTAGCGATGTGAACTAGACTGGAGACTTTAAGCTTCGCGTATCAAGCAGACGAAGGCCACTTCGGCTGGTAAATTCCAATGGCGATGAGGTGTGAAGGAATACCGACAACGAGCCACGTCCAACGGCATCAATGCCGGTGCACATGAGAATCGTGCACCAACCTTCACCATCGCTCATGGGAAATATCTCCTTCGGATACAGAAGAAGATTCCTTCTCATCCGGCCATTGTGCTTTCTTTGGCAATGACACGGACTGGCTGATCCCAACAGCTAGGGAGATGCCTGTTTTCGTAATAGTCATATCCAAAGGATAGAAAGGTGACCCAGTAAGATGGCGGAAAATATATGGGGCATGTCAAGGCGGTAAGCTGGCATGAAGCGTTCATAGATGGCCTGTACCTTGGCCATATAAATCATCTTCGGTTGCTCGGTGTGTTACACAAGCGTCCATTGCTCAGAGCGATGTGTTCTGCTGGTCATGAATCGAATCTTGCATAGCGGGAATGAGCCTTCCAAGATATGCACAAGGGCGCGATATGCAACCAATCAAGGGAGATTGCTGTGACATTGTCCTTTGAAGCTCCTAGATTGAGTTGATGTTGCAGGTATCCAAAAACGCTTCATTCGAGGAGTGAAAGATGAGCTGATGTCCCAGAAGCCTTTGAAGTACGTACGCTAGTCCATTAGATATACCAGGTACGTCGTTGCGCATCTTGGCTGTGTTTAACGCGTCGGAGCTTTCGGCAGCACTGATTGAATTCACGTCAAAGGCTTGTTTTCGTGGTTCTCGTTCAAGGCGAAGGCTTTGATGACAGGATGGAGTGGTGTCCATATTCACCAAAGGTTGCTAGAACACGAAGCTGGATTGTTTTTCACATTAAGTGAACCACAGGCCTTGGCCACAGGGAACAAATGGTACTTTCATACCGCCAGACACTGCTCGAGCAGTTGCCAGAGAAAGGTAGTGAGTAAGTGGATGTTAGGCATTTGGTCATCCTATAACTATACCGACTCTTCCCTCTTCTGCGTCACGGACCAATTAGTCTGTTGGTGGAGTGATCACAGAGACAATCACCCAGTCTACTCGTCAGGCAAGAGATAAATTTCACAGTGACGGAGCTTGAAGAAAACCGTCGTATATATATGGCAGATAAAGTTTTTTGCTGCAAGCTCCGTTTCCTCATCAGTAGACGATTTTGACGATTCTAGACGCGTGCAACTCGTCCTGTTGAAATTCATCGTAGAAATGACGCCAAGAACGTGTAAGAAAGTGATTGAATAGCTCATGAATGATTCTTGGAAGACCCCAAGTGTATTCGTTATAATTTATATTCCACAAGCAATTGTATTCTTCGTCACTCTGAGACTGAAGCCATCTAACACTGCTCTTGCTTGGCAGTGATGTGCGAACGATACCCGGCAGGGTGCCTTGGTGAAGCACATTTTGGCGTGCGCTTAGTGGTACATCGATACATTGCATAATTCGATGAAGCTTCCATTGTATGGCTTCTTCAATCATTATAATTTTGATCCTCTGGTATGGAGCGGTTCCCGAAAACGTTGCTTCTTGGCCGGGTTGGAATGCGGTTGATAACCACACCCAGGCTGGAGGTGTTTGTCATTTTGTCGAAAGACAAATACGTATATGGTATATAATGACTTTGAGTCGAAGTATGGCTGCCCAGCTTCCGTATGAGCTTCACAAATCTTTGGGATATCAACATCGCTGGTCATTCCGCAGAAGAGCGAATTCCATGAGGCGCTCTTCGCGGATTGTGGGATTGCGGTTATTAGGTATCCCAAAGGCGCAGTGCAGACGTGTCCATAGTGGGTTCCTTTTCTTTGTAGGAGGCACGAAGCCTGAGCCGGTGATTTTGTAAAGAATGACGCCCCGGCACGCACCAATGACTCAGGGGATGTATCTCCTCTCTCATTCGTCTTGTGGAACAACACTACCGTATGTGATAGGGGCTTAGTACACTTCGTCATGCCCGATGGTATCGCGCACAAGATCGGATACGATATTCGTCAGCGAATGTGAAAGAATGTAGGTTTTGGTTGTGTGTGAAGCTGATTGGGCATGACGGGTCCAAGAAGAGATGGGGAGAACCACTTGTCGAACCCCACCCTAACGATGGGTGTAACTGGTTTGTTTTTACCGAGTTGGAAGCGAGTTCCTGCCATAGGTTGCAGAGAATGATGATGTGCTGTTCCTTGGATATTTCCTGGAGAGCGACCACAATTCCAAGCCAACATCTTCTCCCTCGTTTCTCGTAGCTCCGAGGAGATACATCAGCCTTCTATCCTCTGGTGAGTCACATTGATAACAGATCTTGTTTGTATCAGGAGCGAAAGCCGCAGGCACAAGTTCCTCATTGTAATAAGCCCATCCGCCGTATTCGTGAAGAGGGTTTGTGGGAAGAGGAGGATGAGGTCATGCTGTAGGTTTCACCGCGGTATGAGCAAAGAGAAATATGGTTTCAATGTCAGCCTTGGGTGCCGCAGGTTAGAGATTGGGGTGAGTGGAAGATGGAGAAATCTTTGCGAGGGTAGGCCTCCGTATTGCTTCTAAATAGGATTCAGGTGCGCAATCCCAGAGAAGAATTACACGGCACAGAACATGACACGCTTGCTCTGGGGTATATAGGCAAGCAGGTTTCACAACTAACAGGCCACATCGCCTGCACATTCGTTTTTTTGGTAGTATACCCTGCCTATGAGGGGAGGGAGATTCAGACAAGTTCGGTCTCTAGTTGTCAATGCTTCCATATATGTACCCATGACGGAGACCTGTTGCGGTCCAGTATCTCTGCGATTTGAGGAGTATGAGCGGATTATGGCGCATCGGGAAGTGGTCTCGAATATCGTTACCTGAGAGTAAAACCCGTCACTTGAATGATCAAGCGTTTGTTAACGAGGACGTAAGACTTACTCTGCTGGGGATATCCGATTAGAGTCGTATATAACTGTTTGCTCTAGCATGGCTTCCATGGACGCAGACTGAAATATGCTTGCCCATGACGTATAAGGGACCGTGAAAGTCGGGACCGTTGTTGCCCGGATCTCAGGCCAATATATGACTCATCTTATAATATGAGTAGTCAAGGTCTCGAAGCCCCTTCACAATGAGATGAAAAGTGAGGGGAGACTCAATGTGCCCTGCCACAGAGTTATTGAACGCCAGAATAGCCGGAATTGATGATTTCAACTTCAGCTTTGCGGGTTCGCGACTCAAAGTCAAGACGATTATAATTTGGTGGGTTTCTGATTTATTATAGATATCAGTCTGATCCTCGCAGAATGATAGGAAATCAGAGTGCAGTAATACTGTAGAAGAGATGCTGGAAGTTTTAGGAACGGTATGATGGCTCCGTTTTCTCTTGGAGCTCGCATAGGTGTGACAGAGTCGCTAGGAGACTGGACAAGGGTCCTCGATAGTAGTGATTCGAGTATATCCACATAAATGTGTTACTGCGTGCGAGCAAGATTAAGCAAGTACAGTAACCGCGCTCGTGCATCCTTGTCAAGTTATGTCTCACAAGCTACAAGCAAGTGGAACCTTGGTCTAGGTCAAGAACCAATTCCACCTGGACATGTCGACAGACCAGTTCTAGGTTGCTCGAAACCAAAGGGACATGTTTTGAGTAAGGAAGGTCGTCATTAAGTCAAGCATGCGAGACACACATGCGATTCCGTGAAATGTTATATTATTTGTTATATGATCCAGTTGCTTTGTGCTTGTTCGATTTGTTGACAGTTGCGCAAGTTCTTCCGGTGGTCACCGTATATGTAGGAGAAATCGACCTGGACCCGTGTCAATGGAAACGTGTAGCACAACTCATCGTAGAGACTTTGTCGTCACTGAATTGGTTGCTGACCCTACAAACAGCCCACCAGACAGTGTGATCCCACTGTAGCGGGTACTTTGTTAGAGTGTGATCTGATTTCTGTGGATGCTTCCGTTCTTCACTCACAAGACAACAAGACTCTGCAGAACCCAGCTTCGAGCGATATGATGTTGGCTTTGCAGCGATGCTGCGACGCCAGATTCCATTTGGGTGGGAAGCAGACGATTTGCTGGGAAAGTCGCATGCGTGTGATTAGCTGGCACCGGATGTTCCCGAGCTTTCGCCATAGACTTATGTAAATTGGTCCGACATGTTGTAGATCGTGCCAAGATATGTTTCAGCACTTTTGAAGAACGCCTTCTTCGCAGACACTGCGTCCGATCGATACTCAAAAGCCAAGTATCGGCTGCTCCGTTAGACATGTGTAGGAGCTAGCGGGATAAAGCAGAGGAAGATGACGCACAGAGCTTCTTCTGATGAATGATACTGCGCTGGAGGAGAAGAAGCCGATGAGACCGCTTCGGTAAGATATTTTGCAGTAGCGTCATCGAGCCCTAGCAGTTAAATACCTTTGTTTAAGCAGGACTTGGCAAATTGTGCTCGGACCAGGTGGAGAATCGCCCAGATTAGTTTCTGTCTCTGCCTAGATCTCAGTATATTGTCAGTATGAGAATGGTAGTGAGAGTCAGGTGTATGCAAGAAAAGGATGACTGACGTAATATCAGCTCCAGCAGTCTGATACTTGGCGCTGAAGCTGTATAGCATGAACAGAGTAAGCTAGCGGTCTCGACGCGATGGTGAGATCCCCGTCAAATGACCATCTATGCTAGTGTTGCTGCTACCTAGTGGCGATATAATGAAGGTCGTGTCCATACCCGTTCGGTAAAGATGTATAGAAGGTATAGTAAGGAGAGATGCATAATTGATACCATCCTGACACTTGCGACGGTTGCGACCGCTTGAAGCTTGCAGGGCCGATCCACGGAAGCCTGAGCCTTCATTATCTTCAGAACTGCTATCACCGCAACTAAATTCGCGGTTGGGTAGCATTTGCATCTTCCAGGGATATAATGCACAGCGAGTAGTGCTTATCAACATACTCCACGGAATGATGTGTAGATGATGCTGCACACCAGCGCTGTAGTGATGAATATAGACCATCAACAGTGTAGCCCTTAGAGGATATAGGGAATTAGCTGGCCCTATTATCCAGAGGACGAAGAGAAGAGTATAATGTGCACCTCTTGAGGTGAGAGCTTGACAGGTTCTTATTGACGGGGTATAGAAGGCGGATTAAGAAAGATCAGAGATGAGAATATGGTAAGCCATGGGCGTGAGTCGCGTTGAGCAAGCGACTGACCCAGTAAAAGAAATAAAGAAAGTAGTAGCTTTGCTTAGAGAGGTGTATATAGATCAGACGATAGTATAGTATCGCTCATGAGATGAGAGCCATGTTAGGGGTAGTCATAGTTGAGATACCCTTTGTCTATAAAATCTCTTTTCTGTGTTATGAGAAGGATAATAAAGAAAGGAAAAACTCAGATGAGAGAAGAATCAGGACCCGTATTTATAGCTGCTCATACCAGGAAGAGATGGAATACAATCGCCGCGGTGATGGTCGCTTACAGTGACGGGGATACGTAGTGACGGAGACATCCAGTGACGGCGTAAACGGGGTGTAGTGATTTGGAATATGGGGTGGCGTTTTTATGTTAATAGACAGGGTGAAGAGATGGACAACCTTAAGAATCTAGTGGGCTTTTGATCATGGAATATGATAATCGTGAATTCGCACCTTCACGATATCTAGGAAGGTAATATGCCTACAGTGACGCTTATATCAGGCGAATGATTACATTCATTATCAATAGCTTAACAGGCAGTATTTGTGTGCAAGTCCGAGACCGGAAGACTTTTATTCCATGTGGTTGGCCAAACTCCTTAAAACATTGCTGCCAATACTATATACAGTACAAAAAGGTGATCCACAGATGACAAACGAAATATAGGTCTTTCAAAAGAGTGGACGGGACAAGCCCAAGATCATCTGTGTCATGCCACATGCACATGCACGGGCATTTGTCAAGTATCTGACAAAAGAAAGTAAACGAGTGGTAGGCTGCAGAGCCATCCAGTATGGCTTCTCAGCAGACCCAGATCGAATCATCATCGCAACATAGACATTAACAGGCATCCCACATCCCAAATCATAAACATGTCAGTCATATCATAACAATCATAGCAAATGCCACTGCAGCCCAACCTATTCCCCACGCGATGCACGCAAAACCAAAGCAAAATCAAAAACCACAACAGTTCAAAAGCAATAAAACAGAAACCCGAATCCAAGTCATATGCAAAATGTAAGCAAGCGCTCGATATGTTCCGTCCCGTTGTTCCGTTGGACTGCCTGCGACGCGCAGGCAATGTCCCATGGTGAAAATCAAAAGATGCCATCCGTGAAAGAAAGTCATAGAAATCGACGAGAAGGTGTGGAGGTAGATGTAAACGACTGCAACATATTTCAGATGCTCGAGAAATCCACACTCAACTCGGAGAATGAGAAAACGCTGGTACGCCGATAAAGCCGAAGGAGTGCGAAACGTAGAACAACATCGCTAAATTGTCAGACGAGGTCATCATGAAGCTAGTCCGTAAGATATATCCAGTCGAAGTGAATGGTAAGCTGTCTATGTATGTATATGGCTAAATCTGGCTAAAACTGGCCAACAGTCGTATGTCGTTAAAGCATGTAGAGAGAAGGTGTACGTCTGTCTAACTGTAGACGACGTAAAGGAGGCGGAGGTGGAAGCACAGAACTCGATCAGTTTGCTTGTTTGGATGCAGAAGAAACGCAGGCAATGTAACTTTGTCTGGGCACGGTGGAGATAGAGGGAGAGAGAGGAGAGAGCTGAGATGGGCGATGTACGGTCGGCGTGACCCAACCATCGCGGGGCTAAACTACTGGCTGAAGCCGGAGTCTTCCTCCTTTACGGGGGCGACACCATATTCCTGAACCATGCGTCTGAAGTCTCGGATAACCTTTTCAGGTACCCGGTCCCACATGAGGGAACGAGAGTAGACTTCAGAGGTAGCCTTGTTCGGAAGCTTGTGGGCAACGTTACCACGCATCGCAGCGAGCGCCTGCTGCAGATTAGAAGGCTGCTGCTGCTGCTTGTAGTCGACACCCGCATCATCAAAAGTCGTCAAGGAGTTGTACTGGTCCGCGTTGAGAGCGAAAACCTGCTCCTGTTCCTGCTGCTTGGAGGGCATGGCCAGGGTGTTGTGGAGTTCATCCAGGTTCGACGGTGCCGCTGTGCCGGTCATCTGAGCCATCTCGGCTCCAGTGATGGTGGTAGGCATGGGCATGGCCGACGAGGAAGCCACAGCGCCTTGGCCCTGAGCAAGCTCGGGCGGAGAGGAAGACAGAACAGCCCGGAGGACATTCGCGGACTCAGCGCGATACTCCTCCGAGAGCTGAGGCATGGAGCGAGCCGACAGCGTAGAGCTGTTGGAGGCAATGAATGCTCCGAAGAGAAGGCACATGTAAAAGGCGTTCCAGCTGAAGGGGTAGTCGCTGGTCGCAGACTTTTCCTTATCGTTCGTGGAGACCACCAACGAGGAAGAGTGTGCCGTCGAGGTGGGAACAGACTCTGCGTCAAGGGAGAGGCTGTTCACCATAGTAAAGTCTTCCCAAGGACTGCTGTCCATGGTCAAGTTCTCAAAGTCCGAGAACTCGGTGGTCATCGCAGGAGCGGCGGTTCGTGCGTGTCTCTCAAGCTTCTCCACGGTCTCCTTGAGGATGTTGTTCTTCTTTCGAAGATCAGCAGTCTCCAAGGTGTGCACCCGGATCAGTTCATCCTTCTCCATGTGCATGGTGTTGATGTACTGTGTGATTTCCTGCTGGGCGGCCATCCATTCGCTCTTCTCGCGAAGGAGTTCGGCCTCCCGTAGGCGCATGTTCTGCAGTTCCTCCTCGAGGTCGCTAATGACCTGGGTGAACTGCTTCTTCTCCTCTTCCAATTTCTCGGTGTGGAGCTTCTTGCGCTGACGGGAATCCAAACTAGAGGACAAGATTAGATATGGGCTGATGTCATCAATGTAAGGGGGAGAGGGGGCAATGGGTACTTACGCAGCTTGACGGTTCCTCAGCAGCCGCTTCTGTTGTTTGAGTTCTTTGATCTCCTCCTCATTGGTCGACTGGCTGATCAGCTGGTCGATGTTGCTCAACGTCCGTTCTGCAGGAATCTCAAAGCGAGCGTTCTTCTTCCGGATCCCATCCCGGCGCACACTCAAGGGGGAACTGTTGCGGTAGGTCGGGCTCTTGGTTGGCCGCGACATGGCATCAGGCAGATCCGTTGCAGCGGGCATCCAGCCCTGACTGGACTGCGGCGACATAGCCACAGTGGCAGGGTGAGCGAAGGCCATGCCGGGACGGTAGGACATAGAGGGGATGTTGATGGTGCTGACAGGACCGACGGCACCGCCAGCAAAGGGGGCTGACGAAGCGTGATCCAACTCGGAGGGAAAGTGATCGTACATGGCGGTAGGAGTGCAGGAGCCCGATTCCTTTGCAAGCTGCCAGGAAGCCTGGTGGCCGTAGGGAGCGGATGGATGAGCGCCGTCTACCCGCATGAAAGGATTGGGGGCGGTTTCAAAGAAAGCGTGGCCGACTTGGGAGTTGTGACGGGACTGTGTGCTAGAGACGGATTGGGAGAAATCGGACCAGACGGAATCTCGATGCGCAAATGCATCGGGTGCATGGTCATATGAGGTTCTCCGGTGGTCGGCAACAGTGGAAGGAAGTTCGGGGGAAGTAGAGTCGAGGATCTTATCATCAAGTACACTCATGTCGTCTTCTTCTGAATATGACGGTTTGGCATCCAATGTAGAGGGGGATTGTTGGTAGAAGTCAAAGGATTGTTGAGAATACCTTGCCATAACTGTGAATGTGTATATGACGAGGATAAAGATGAAAAAAGGTGGCTTTGATCAAGGAAAAAAGCCCGTGGTTGCTTGTAGAGCAGTCAAGAGGCGGTGTGTAAAATAAAGGTTCGGGAAAAAAAACAGGTCAAGAGGTGCGGGGTTTTAGGGTGGTTGGTGAAAGTATTTAGAAAGTCTCAAGCTTGTGTAAGAATGGGAGGAATGAAGAGATAACCCGTGAGAAGAAAGACGAGAGAGTATAATCTCGAAAGAGTCTCAAGGGAGGAGGATTGGGGGGAATGAAAAAGGATAAGATGGGAAGAGAAGTAGATCGATCGGGTGGTGGTCAAGGTGTAGAGTAGTAGAGAACTAGCGAAGTGGAGGCAGAAGAGGAGCAGGGGAGGGAAGAAGCGGAATAAGTATAATATGAAGGAGGAGGGGAGGAAAGGTAAAATCGAGGTCTCTTGTGATCAGACAGAAACCTCTCGCGAAGAGAGTTTGAAGTTCAGTATATTGATTGATTGTGATGGAGGACAAGAGCAAGTGACAAGCGGGAGGGGGAGTCCATATATCCTTCGGGGCTGAATCAGGAAACATGCGATGAGGGAGTCCCTGACCAAGTTCAGAATAGTAAGACTGCTTTTCGACCCAGCACGAAAATCTTAGGATGAGTGAATATTTTTTTTTGTCTTCCAGAAATTAAAAATTAAAATAAAGAAAAAGTAATATTCAGATTAAAACCCCAAGAAATAAAAAATGCGAATAAAAATAAAAACACTAACTATAATCATAACCATACTTTCTCTCTGGGACCTGACCCATAACCTACAGACGGACCAACAGCGGCAATCATGGGGGTAACCAGAAAAATAGGCACTAGAAAAAAATATGGGAGAGAGAAAAAGAAAATAACAAAAATAAAAATAAAAAATAAAATAAGGAAAAAATCAGGAAGAGAAGCAGAGTGAGTGAGCCCAAGAGAAAACACCCCAAAAGAAAAAAACCAAAACCAAAAAATCCCACCTAATTCCCGTGCCCATGATTTTCCCACGGCCTTCTTTCTTCCCTTCTCCATCGACCCTAAACAAAGTAGTAGGTAGAACCACAGACCACAGACCCATCGCTCGCACTTCCTCGCTCACTAATCGGCCGCACCCCCAAAACCACCCAACGAGCATCCGGCGGTCAGCGGAAAAGTCAAAAGACGAGGCGACATTTCTGACTGCTCCCGAGATTAACGAGGAGCGATCATTGGATGCTTCGTTGGGCAGACGTGCAGCTGGCAGGGGAACCTTTGGGACGAGAAGGGTGGATGAATAATCATCGTTCCTGGCTGGTTACTCGCCCAGTGCTTTTGACTAGAGACGAATCATGATCGTGACGCTGCTCGTGTAGTACCCATGATGATTGATCTTATCCCCTGGGTTGGTAAAGGTTGAGGTTATTCACATCGTCAAATGTAGGTACTAACTAGCGGACTAAGGAGGCTAACTAGCGAGAATATTGCTGCTCTGGAAGAATCCCGATGATCGCCTTGCCGGTAGTCTACTATCTACTGTAGTACTTTATTGTAGGCCTAACCTTCTTCATTTTATTTCCCAATTACATCAAAGGAAGCATCACCTTTATCCCTGAGAATATACTTACTATTTACTACCTAATCCATTTAGCAATAGTAGTAGTAGAAACTAGAAAGTAGGAGATACCTACCGACCTTAGTAAGTGAGTATGCTTTTCACCAGACGCGACTCATACATAGTGCAGGATGTGATAGATGATAGGCCGAAGGAATTCGGTGGGATCTTCCCCCCAACTGTCGCATAATTAGAAGAGAATAATAATCAACCCTAACCGCCAAACCTAACCAACAATATCGACAAAGAGCCCTCGCCCGTCAATAACGGCGGCTATATGCCGTTGCCTGTCTCAACTAACCTTAACTTTTGACTTTGGGAATACCAACATCAGTCAATCATCCGGACCGATGGATAGCCGCTCGGGATGAGTTCTCAACTGGGAGTCTACTTTTCGTAGATACTACCCTTCCCAGTGAGTGCCGGTCTCCGGGTAAAGAGTGGGTTAGAGACCGGAGTCGTACTAAGTAAGTCCGTAGTAGGAGGAGTAGGGACCATAAGTTTCCATGCTAGTATAGTTAGTTAGTTAGATGTCTGTAAGTAGTGTAGTGGGTGCAGAGAGTGGTCGGTATCAGAACCATGGTTAGTATTACGGGTGGGGCCACAAATCGGATATCGAGAGCCTATCGATTCGATCATTCCTGACAGTACGACCCCTCTATCCGATACAGTCGAAACTTCCGTCAATCCATGTGCCTGTCCTTCTCTCTCTGTGTGTCTGTCTGTCTCTCTCTGCCAGTCGCTTATCCCGTAGCAGCCCGAACTCAGGCATGCGATTCCCTTCTCTATCCCTCCCGACAGTAATCGATTGAATCACATCCGGGAACGCAAAACGATTGATTGGTACCTGGGGTCCAGCACACTGGGTTCATGGTTTCAAGCACACACCACACCACAACACATCCCCTCCCTCCCTATTCATCCTCAGGTTCGATGATGATCCCATAATGTACGTACATATGTCGGTGGGTAGGTACCTGAACAACAGGCCCGTTCATCCTACCAGGACCTGAGGAGGAGGGGGGCTCTCTTGGCTCCTCGGTGTTTTGGATTTGGGAAAGATGATGCCCAAAAGAGGAGATCGTCTGTGCGCTCAGTCAGTGTGCATCCATCCCATGATCGACCCCTGGGATAGGGCGAGTCGTGAGTTACAGGACGATACCAAGAATACCAGACGATGAGGCCATACCCCCCTCCCTCCCCCTCATACTTTTTTTCTTCCGATGGGAGGAAGAGAGGGCAGGCGGGCGTGGGATCAGATGGACGGACTCGATGTCATACAATACATACGGGACACCATCACCCATCCCACACCCCCGGGCATGAAGCGTATCGCCCTCCAGCCTTCAGTTGCGGGCATGACCAATCATTCGCGCGCGCGACAGTGCGACATCCCTCATGGGCTGAGAGGAAACTATTTCCATTGTGATCATCAGCATTGCACGCCAGAGCGCTGGGAACCAAAAAAGCTCCTGAGGCTGGATCAGGCTGTTGATGCTGATGAAGAAGTACGGAGTGTTTCCTGCTAAGACCGGCTTAGAGGAGAGAATGATCCGATGGGCTAGCATCGCATCCTTCATTGAAGCCTCGTTCTTATCGTAATTCTTATTGTTGGTGTGATATGCCCGTGACAGCAGCCTCTCCCAAGCCTAGATGTTTGCTTTCACTTGCTATCATTATCATTCACCACTACCACAATGCTATACACATGCATCTATTTTGCTTTTTCCCCTCCATAGCACCTCGATAGAGAACCTAGGAAACCACCACGAATTCATCTCTGGTACCGTTAGGGCCGGCCCGTAGAAGGGGAGATCCATCCAACCCATCCAAAGCAGTTGATCCACAACCAATAACCACAAAGAAAACCAAACCCAGCCAGTCAGTCCACGGGTGGACGACAAAACAAAAACCAAAACAAAACAAAAGGGCCCTTTTGCCATTTCGGTTTAGACTGGGGTCATTGCCTGCCCGCGCGGCCCCCCTTCAATCGGCGCGCGCGCATCGCATGCACACCCGTTCTGTTGCGACACACCCTCACACACTGGCACCCGCGCCCGCCCGTGCTTTTCGAACCAATTCCATGACAGATTTACCTGAAATGCACATACCGCACGGAAGCTGCACCTCAGATGCAGAAACAAAAAAAAGCACGGACACACACACTCTCTCTCTTCTCATCGGATTTCATCTTGGACTGGATGCCCTCGAATCAAATACAGATATTAATCAGGTTTACGGTTTGATTGATTTAGATTTATTTCTTTTTGGGGATGATTGCCGAGCGGGTGTTTTTCTTTGCTTTTTTGGTTCTCGATTCTGGCGTTGATGCCAGGCTCTTAGTAGTTTAGTTTACTGTAAGTAAGCAAGTCACTGACTTACCTACCTACCTACCTCTGTGCTTCACTAGTCAGGCAGGTAGGTAGTAAGTAGTCAAGTTAAATTACCTCTTTTGGTATAAGCACCACCATCAACTTATGGAGCTTAATCCACTTTTGACGGTTCACCTGCATTTTCTTTCTTCTTCGTGTGGCGGTTGATACTAGTATCTATCTACTGTTAGGCTAGCCATATCCACTCACCCTTCTGTTTCGTCCTTAGGTAACCGTCTTACCTAAGTAAGTCAACGGCGGAGTCACGAGATGGAAGGTCATTCATTCATTTTCATTCCACAATTCTATCGACCGAAAAGAAGAATCACAAGGGGAAAAAAAAAAAAAAAAAAAGAAAACTTAATGTTTGTAATTTTCCCAATTAGGAAGGACACACAGAGTAAATTATCATCCATCGCATCCTCCATCCCGTCCCTCCCTCCCTCCACCTGTGACTATCACCAGTAACAGAATTCGTCATCCATCTAAGTACTCCGTACGTACTTTCCTATTACTCAACTAACCAACTAAATACCTACACACAAAACAAAAAAAAGAAAAAGATCAAAAAAAGATAATTGCCAGTAATTAACCCCAGGTAAGGCATCACTGCTTCTTCCCCCTTTCTTGCACTTTCCTGCGGGGAAACCAATCCAAACCAATCCAATCGATGTCATCGCATCTCGCTCGGATCCTTGGCCGTGCGCACCGCACGATCTGGGTTCTCATGCAGAGACAGGGCGAGTTTGGGTTGAAGCATATGGCCATCCATGGCCAAGGCAAAAAAAGGTTTGCGCCTATCTTTGCTTGGCTTGGCAGGAAGGAAGCAGGAGTAGAAAGCAGAAGCTAGAGCTGGAGCTCGAGCTCGAGCTAGACTTTCGAGCTTGGAGGTGGTGATGTGATGTGATGTGAGGCTGTAGTTGGTTGTATTGTGATTTTCTGCAGATAAGGGGTTGAGGTAGATGTGGTATGTGCCTTAACTAGACAATGTGCGTTGCCCTTGGTTTGCCTTGTCTGGGTGTTGCCATATGGCTTTTGGTGTTTCAAAATATGTAGGTAGGGTAGACCTACTAGTAGTAGTGAGTGAATGGTTGAGTAGTAGTCAGTATGTAGCAAGCTTTCCCATCTTCCATGATTGGCTTAATGCAGTGATGCTACAATACATATCCTCAGACGCTATAGCATCATAACTACTTACTTACCTACCACAGTAAATTCACTACGCTCATACTACTACTACTACTACCTGAAGAACCGAATGACGTCCGAGAACCTTCCCCTCCAATTCGGCCGATAGCATGATATCACAGCATCACCCTCCCCTCCTCCTAAACCAACGTGTCCTAGTCCCCATGATTCGAGGCATCAATACCCCGAAAATCCTCAATATGTAATCAAAATCTCAAGCAGCGAAGCATAGTACATAGTTACACAACAATGCCTGCGCCGATCCACATCCACCCGCCCCAAAGCAACAACATAACATAACATAACATAGTACGTAGTCTAGTTAGTCCCCGAAATCCTACAGTATGCACAAGGACCAAAGTAGCAACTAGAAAGTCCACTTACTTACCGCCAACTATCTACTATCGATAAGATGAAACAGACCAGAAGAATCCATGACCCACTCCACTGCACTATACTACTTATTTACTAGAATAGTATGTTAGTAGTTAGTCGAATCGGCAAGCAAAAGCAAGCAAAGCAAGCTTGGACGTTGTCACCGACCACTTACTGTGTATGTACGCGGAGGTTTGTTGGTATGTGCGCTGCGTAGTATTAGTGCAACAGAAAGTAGAAGAGAGGTATGAGTCACACTGTCTACGGCTTCCCCTCCTCTGGTTTGTTTTCTCGAAGCTTTACCGGTCTACATGATTTCCTAATTGGGATGGAATCCATCATCCCCTTGATGACTTGGTGTTTCAGGTTGTTGTTGTTGATGAGCTAGGATGGAGCTGTTATGGGGTTTTGTATGTGTGTTGATGTCATGGGTTGGTTCTGTTGCTTACTCTGTAGGCTTAGCCTTACTGGTCTGTGTTTATGTTATTGGTATACTGTGTAGAGAAGAACGAAGCTATTGTATGGAGTAAAATTGGATGCCACGTTTCACAGGTAGATAGGCAATTTTACCTTGTGGTACGTATAATCTAACCCAGAAAGACGGGATGAGAAGGAATTGAATGTATCGATCATCTCATCTACGCAGCGACTACTACCGATGTGCATTGGTATCGGGTACGCATGGAAATCCCAATAGCAAAGAGTCAGTCCGTAAGCATGTCATACTTATCCAGGGCCGGCAAAGCAGCGGTGCCCGCTATTCGCGACAATCGCGTGGAAGGTGAAATGCAAAAGAAGACAGAGAATAAAAAAGCAATTAACTTGCCCTACATATGCCTTCTGCTGCTGCTGCTGCTACTGCTACTGCTGATGCAATGCATGAACTTTGCCGGTGTTCAGATCATCTCATGCACCAAGTGAAGAGGGGACGAAGGAGCAGATTGCATCCGATATCGAGTCAGAAGCAAATCAGCAGTGAACAACAAAGACAAGGGAAGCAAACCCAATCGGATACGAGCCAAAAAGACAACTTGAAACAATACCCTAGAAGCAGTAGTATTCTTTCTTGGTGTTCTTTTTCTGTCTCAATTTCTCATTGGGCTAAGGCGAATCCTCATGGTGATTTGGAATTGCAGCAAAGGAGGCGAACATGTACGGTGTGCAGGAGTGGGTGGGAAGGGAAGAGTTGGGTGTGGGTATGGAACCTGACCGTTATTCAACCCGGGGTCCTGGATAGGATCAGGCCGGGGGAAAGGGGGTGGGTGGTCCGCGGCAGACAGACACGTGAATGCAGTCGACAAGTCCTAAATCTGATTTCTCATTTCGAAATTTGCCATCAGAACAAGGAGAAGGAGCATCTCGGGCCTGCCGTGACTGGCGACCTGTCCCCATTCCGGGTAATCGCTCGTCTTGCGATGACGATGCCGAGTGGCCATTCTGGCGGTGTACACCAGCCCCGGGTCCAATTGAAAGAGGCGAGAGAAGCGACCGGTGGAGTGGTGCTAATTGAACGGAAATTAAGACTTCGCCTCTTGAAGAAATCAGCGCATGCGGGCTGCTATCTAGGGAATTGGCCGTCAGCAATGGGTTGAGTTGATTCTTTTGGCTCTTACAAGGGATCGGATTGGACGTGATGGTAGCTCGACCACAATCATAACCACACTGCTCAGAAGCCAATGGCTTACGGACGATCGACGACGATAGGCTTATTCAGAGAGAATGCATAAATTGTGAGAGCATTGTCATACTCGAATTGAAAGAATTAAGGAAGCTCCCGGGTCAGTGGGCCGGTCAGTCTCGTTCTCGAAGATTGGCTTTCTCGGACTCGGTTGCATGATACCATTGTTGCCCAACGAGGCTGCTGATCGTATAAATTTAGTAGTTTGTATTACGAAGCAGGAAGTAGAGAGCGATGAAATGAGGTAATTCTGGGTGCTAAATGACTTGCAGTTGAGGATTGAGGTAGGATAGGATAGTAAGAATAGCATCTACTCTTTAGAACTGGAATAGTTCATTGCTAGGCACCAGAGTTGTAGTCAGTCAGTTCTTAGACACAGAACAAGCAACTTCCAGCAGCAACACCGCCCCAAGTCACGTTTCCCGGCCTGATCTACGGCTTTCCGCCAATCAGCGGTAGGCTGGGCATCCAAAGGAACAAAAGAGCCCTGGTTGACTACTCACCACTACGAAGCAAGTGACTAGTAACTACTAGTAGTATATCAATCTGCGGTATCATCTCCAGTTCCGTCCTCAACTGCAGTGAACAAAAGAAATTAACATAGTGGACCCCGTCGACCATTCTCGAAGACTCTGCCTATCGGATCCCACTTGCATCTTCCCCAGAAAGCTAAACGAGGGGCACCTCATCGGGTAGATACCAAAGTAACTATCTGAACTAAACTAAAGATGCAAAATATCGGTGTTGAAGGAATGTCGGTCATTGGGCCATTCCCCTCGTAACTGGTCCATCCGAGCCAATTGGCGGTGACGCTTGTCATCAGGCACAGACTGAATGACTGCACCGGTCCGTGATCTGATCGCCTTTTTCTTTTCTTTTTTCTTGCCTTGTACCTTCATCCTGGACATCTATCTAGTACCTAGTTGGTTAGTTAGTGAGTAGGCAGTATGGATATTCCCCATGCATACATACAGACTACGGCTTGTGGCATGTGGCGGTAGGTCGCTAAGGCCCCCCTCCTCCCCTCCTCAATCCCCGGAACAAACATCGTGCCACTGAGACCGCCCCAAGGAGCTTTTCTTAATTATCGCCTAAGCAAGGTCCCCCTGCCGGTAGTAGTCGGACGGAGCAAAGATTGTGCGTACAGATATGTACATGTATGTACTCTGTACGTGAGTAGGAGGATTGATGATAGGTGCCAGGACATCCGGTCCCCGGGCCAGGGCAGTAATAGCAAGCCACGAGGCAATGAGAAAGTCGGGACTAACAAACATGAAACAAGACCCCCAGGACAGGTGTTTCAACTCGACTTGCTTAGACTCGACTACTAAACAGCCTGGCTGGCAGCTTCTCGTTGGTGTCCGCAATCCGCATCCGCATCAGCACGGTTCAGGGCATGGCATGGCATGGCATGGAATGGCGGGTGTCGCGTCTCATCGTCGTCCTCCCGGCCGGCCCTAATCGCTCCAACCGGCACAAAGAACGCCCGTGCCATCCCGGAACACGCGGTAAGTAAGAGTTGGGTTAGGTAGAAAGACAAAGAGGGACTCGGAAAGGGAAAGGGAAAAAAAAGCAGCGTGGCTCGCCTTGGTCCATGCGAACCATATGGGTAAAGCAGCCATTGACAGGGCTAGGTTTTTGCAGTGCACCAGCGAGAGACCAGGTACCTCCCCTTAGCTGGTTATCTTCACCGTTAGTCGCTACACTAAAGAGCTAGCTTGCATTGCATTGCATCGGACGCGGATCCACGCTGTGGGGGTCGTCGGCTTTGATCGTCTTCGACCTGACTTCCTGTCAAGTTGGGGGAGTATGACTCACACGTCGGTCTGCCTGTGTCTCCCTCTCTCTGGGTTCGCCATGTGAGGACACAGGGGGGATGGGTACTGCCTGACGCCCCGGACTCACCCTGGGCAGCACGTGTGGCTAGTCTGAAGCAATGTCTGCAGCAGGGAAGTAAGTGAGATGTAGCATATAGTAATCAGAAACAGAAACAGAAAAAATGATATTCATCTCCATTGGTATGCTACCTATGGCTTCACCTCCTCAACACAACAACGTCATCATGTAGAACTACATTTCCAACTGTCATCCCTTACCAACCCATAGGACTTATCCAAGATCGTCAAACGGACTCGTATACACACCGTCTGCAAGTAAACAACATGCTGAACGCATAGGGGTATCTTCATCTGCGACTGGAACACGACATTCCGTAAGGCATCAAACTTTCAAGGCAGGCATTAATTGGCCACTATGTAATGAAATTATTTCCCTCTTATTCTCTGTTTCTTTCTTTCTGCTTTATTTGTTTTTCTTTCCTCTTGCCATTGCCCGTTTCTTGTTCTGTTTGGGGTATCCGTAAAATCCAAGCCAACTTCAATTACAGACTGTAGTAAGGTTAGTGGGTATGAATGTTTAGAGACGGATGTAGTCCTGTTGTTGCGACACCTCGCCAGTATCTGACTCGGGCGCGATGAGTTGGGGCTCATCCTCATCGAGATCGTCCGAATCGACGTCATCCGTGTCAATCTCATCGTACTCTTCTTCCTCGCTGGATGCGTCAGACTCTTCCGCAAGGCCCGTAGCATCTGTCTTAGAAGCGGCATTTTTCCTGATCTGTCCTGCCCGATCAACATGGGGGAGACGGCAGCGCTTCTTGTTGCAAACACCCTCATTCGCATAGTCTGGGCATTCGTGAACGTGTCGTTGGTCGCATTCGGCACCTTTTTCGCAATATCCTAAAACCGCAAAGTCCCTGCACACAGGAGCGCCCGGGGTCACACGAACATGGGCATAGCGACATTCGGGGTTGGAGCAGCGCCCTCGCAGGAAATGCACGCAGGCAGGGGATCTGTGGGGCGAGGGCTCATGAGAGAGATCACAACTTATACCTGCATTGCATTGACCAGTCTGGAGGAAGTCCTTGCACATTGCAACCTTGTTCGGGTCGTGAATATAGGGACATGTTGGTCCTTTGTAACAGCTGCCTAAACGTTTGAAGATCCTGATCAGCGTGATCCCGCAGAAGATGAAACAATAATGAGATGGGGGCAAGGGCCACTTAGGGCCTCGTGTAGGGAAAGCATTGGTACCCGTCGTAGTGAATCGCTGGCAAAGCGCGTTCTTCTTCTTGACCGTCATTGGTTTTCTATATTTGAAGTAAGCTTCCAAACTCGCCACATGGACAACACAACCGCCACCTTTTTGATGTAACAGCACCCAAGCGGTGGAGATTTCCGTTCTTGCTCCGGACAAAAGCGACGCCTGCCACTGTCACTCGTTTTGGCGTAGCGTTGGCAGTATTCGGATTATCTATGACCGGTAAGCTAGTTCGCTTGACCAGAGCATCTACAGCGCACGCACCAGACACTCGGATCAGCTTGCCACCACCGCGCGACACCCGAAACGGTATGTCGTTGACGAAAACCTGATACTCCCCTGACGGTTCTGCAGTAGTCGACACCTGAGGAGCCGCGAAGCCCGTAGAATGGACTCTGCCGACGCCCTGTGCGTAATTCATAACTCTCGCCTGCTCGACCTGTGCTCTCTTTTGCGCCTTTGCCTGGCGACTCTCCTCCATCGCCTTCGTCCTCGCTTGTGTCTCTTTGTCGTATATCGAAGTGTTGATGAGCTGCATATGACGATCGCGTTTCACAACCCACTCATTTGGTGTTGCAGATCGCGCCTCACCGTCTGTATCAGTCCCCGTGCCAGCTGGAGTAGCCGATCCAGGTGTACCTGATGTTGCGTTGTTGAGGATGAGGGTACGGTGGCGATGGGGAGCTACATGACGACCTCGTGAGTAGTGTCGTCCACGATAAGGCGCCCATCCGCGACCTCGGTAAGGAACATGCCGCGAAACGTGTTGGCCTGGAGCTATTTCACTACTGTAGGGAGACTCAGGCTGAGACTGTTGAGTTTTGTGCCTATTGATCTGGCCTGGTGGAGGTTAGAGGCCGGCACGGTTGTGGATAGCTAGAATGCGCTTACCAGCAAGCTGGCTGATTTTGGCCATCAGATCCTGATCTTCTGTCATTTTAACCTGAGTAGGCGGCCAAAGCCACGTTAGCAAGTCACTCAAAGTAGAATCTTTCGTCTATACTGGGTAGCTGAATGACAGACGCCGCTGAGTTGTAAGAGATGAGCTTGTGTTGATGATGCGGATGATGAAATGACGAACGCGGTGTGTGGCGGCCGATGGTCACGTGTTACTGCGCTTTGTACGGATGCCATTGCTGTCTATATTCTGACAATGACTACGGAGTACGGAGTATGTTATGAGATTTTCTACTTCAAACAAAGAAATACTCATTTCAGCTCGATGATATTGTTCTGTAAAAATGTGTGTTAGATGTCGGGCCTGTCATCTAGGCGCTCATAATATACTATCTAAACAGCCTGTATCAAATCACCCAAACCCCAAAGTAACGCCATGGCCCTTATGCTACATAGGATCCGTATCCTTAGACAACGTTCTCGAACTGTCCTTCGTCATTATCTGTCATCATGCCAGAAGGAGTGGCCTCCTCTTCAGAGCCATCCTCGAAGTTGTAGTCTCCCGGTGCGAGTTCATCCTTAGCATCGTTGTACATCGCATTGGCGTAGTTGCTTTCCCTCGCTTCGGGCTTCAGCTCCCAGGTCATAGCAAAGTCACCGGCTTTGACCAAATGCGCAACCATTTCCAAAGTTTGTTTGAGATAAGCCTCGGGCTGTCGCAGTCTCGCCTTGAGGTTCTTAAATGGCCAGTACTTGTATTCCCTGAAGCACTGGTAGATAAGATCCAACAGTTCGTTTTGAGGCATACGCGTGGTTTTGTTTTCCTGGGCCTTGGGCTTGGCTGGCCTCGTTGCTTGCTGGAATGGAAAGTATTCTGTAAGCCAAGTAGAACTAATAAGCACGGCAAAGGAAAACTTACCACAAAAGCACCCTTCTCTCCAGGCAATGCATTGCGCGGCTGGAGCATCTTGCCCGGAATCTTATCGATAAATACAGTCTCACGCTTCGGCTTGAGTGCCTCCAGAGCCTTCTTCTCAGAAAGGCGCCGGAATTCCTCATTCTCGACCGGAAGGCAGTTGAACTCTTCGCTCACGCTCCCCACCAGAGCCGTCTGTTCTGTTGCAATGTGAGCAAGACCTCCTTTGTCGCAGTAACAGGGTACATACTCGGCACAGTTTTTCTGACGTATGGCTCCCATTTCTTCTTGCGCTCCTTCTTCTTCATTTCCCGCTTCATCGACTCATAGAGCGCCGAACGCGCCTCGCCAAAAACCACCATTCGATTCTCATGACCTGGGAGGTCCCTCTCCGTGAAAAGGTACGTATTTTGCGTCAAGTGCGAAACGTTCTCTGAGGTTATCGTTTGCCGTTGCAGTAGGTAGTCTTTAGGAATATCGCGATTGTCTTCTCGTGCGTTTATGCGCAAACTGACCTACAAAGATCACAAAAGTCAGTCCGTGGTAACACAGAAACACAAACCGAGGTCCCTCGACAAAGTTCTTCGCAGATGGAGACATACCCGTTTGAGATCATTCTGTGTACCCTCGATCCTCATTGTCCCGATCTGAATTTCCTCGTCGTCATCGCCGGCGCTGTTTGACAGATGCGCCCAATGTTCCCATAGTGACCGGGGCAGCCGTGAAAGCCAGACGCTTTGGTTTGCAGCCGAGAAGTCTAGATCGCCCGCATCTTCATACAAGTCTTCATCGTCGATATCAGCGAGCACTGTATCCTTGCTGTCGGGATCCTGTTTGATATATGGGTCGGGTTTGATGTATGGGGTCTGGGAATCAGGCTCCTGTTTGACTTGGGGGACCATGGCGCCACACAGCCTAATACTGGAGCGAAAAAAAGTGTTGACTAATAGCCCAACTTTCCGAAGATAGTGAAGCGATCGTAACCGAGGCGTAAGGGAGCGACAAGTCAAGGGGTTAGATGAGTCCAAAGGAAAGCGTCAGTGACGTACGCGATGTTGAAGCTTCGAATGGGGAAGATGCGTCGCCGCAAGCAAGAAACCCGCCGCCCGAGCGGGTCGTCAAAGGCGGTGGACAACTTGCGCTTTGAATAGGAAAACATTAACACAATTCCATTCATACTTCTGCCTCAGCGTCCTAGCTTTCAACTTTAACATTAACCTAAAGACTTTGCTTTTGCTCAAACTACTAGACACGGCTGTTACAAGTCAGCCCACACAATATTTGGAAATCCCTATCCTGAGGCTGTAACCCCCGTCACTAGAAATGTATTTCTTGGGGAGGTACAGGACGGAGTCTTAGTATACCATGAAGGGTCGGAGTACTCAAGCATTAGACAGGAATACCCCATTGTATCATTTTGCCCAAGGTCAGTAGTCAAAGAACGTTGCAAATCTCTAAATTAGATGTGCTGCATTGAGTGCTGTGCTTGTAGTCCCTTATCGATAAGCTCCCCAGCTTCACTTCTCCTCCATCGGCATTCCACGCCATATTCCTGACGTACACCACCTCATCAACCCCTCTGCCCATCAAGAGAACACCAACACCACTTCCACCCGCAATTACCCGCCTACTCGAGTACCATATCCCACATCAACCTCACAATCACATACCAGTCTCATAACCACACCCATATGGCCTCCCAAAAAATCACCTCCGCCCTCGCGGAGATCGAATCCTCCGCGAACCCCCAAAACAAGCTGCAGCTCTACAACAACCTCCTCAGCGACATCGTAGCAACATCCACAGAACTCCAGATCTCCAGAGACCTAATCTACTTCCTGGACTCCGTCCTCAGCGAAGACATCAGCATCGTCGCCGCCCGCCCCATCCTCGACTCCTTCATCGCCGTCCTCCGCAAACTCACCCAAGAAACCCAAATCAGCGTCGGTCAACACGCCATCACCCTCCTCCAATCCCGCTCTACCTCCGTCGAAGAACAAGATGCACAGATCCGCGAGCTCCTCGCAGATGCCTACGAAGCCGAAGGCCAGTACACCGACGCTGCGAAAGCCCTGCAGGGCATCCACATCGACAGTTCGCAGCGGCTAGTCTCCGACGCCGCCAAGGTGCGACTATGGATTCGGATCGTGAGATACTACCTCGAGGAGGATGATACCACCAGTGCGGAAGCGTTCTTGAACCGCATCAAGAACCTGCCGAGTAAGATCGAGGATCACGAGTTGAAGCTGCATTTCAAGCTATCCCAGGCTCGTATTCTGGATGCTCGTCGACGCTTTCTCGATGCTAGTCAGGAATACTTCAATGTTAGTCTTGCGGCGGGAGTGGATGAACAGGATCGGCTGCAGGCTTTGGCGGCTGCTATTCGGTGCGCGGTGCTCGCTCCGGCTGGACCGCAGCGGTCTCGGATCCTCGCTACGCTGTATAAGGATGATCGGTCGACGTCGGTGGATGAGTTTGCTATCCTGGAGAAAATGTTCCTCGATCGGTTGCTGAATCCGGAGGAGGTGGCTGCGTTTGCGCAGCGGTTGGCGCCGCATCAGTTGGCTGTGACGGCGGATGGGTCTACCGTGCTGGATAAGGCTGTTGTTGAACACAATTTGGTTGCGGCTAGCAAGCTCTACGAGAATATTACGACCGATGCGTTGGGTGCGATTCTGGGGCTCCAGGGGAGTGGGGACTTCACGGCGGGGGAGAAGGCGGAGGATTATGCGGCGAGGATGGTCGAGCAGGGTCGTTTGAAGGGGAGTATTGATCAGATTGATGGGATAATATACTTTGATGGAGGGAATGCCACTACAGGACAGCATATCCGGCAGTGGGATGCTGGGGTGCAGGGTCTGGCTGAAGATGTGGAGAGAGTGGCTACGAGCATCACCAATGCGTTTCCGGTGAGTCCTATTGTTTGAGTGCTATTGCGGACTAAAGTGAGCTAACATAACAGTAGGATTTTGCAGCTGGACAGCCGACAGTGCATTGAGGGTATGAAATGATACACCATGAATCAGAAATTAGCTAGCGACATGTTTATTTCACAGGCGTAATGATAAGAAGATGCGCAGAATACATGGTACATGGTACATGTGGTTGATGGTCGTTAGAAGCGTATGTTATATCGTGCGTCGCATGTAGGTGAAGATCAGGAGCTGTGACCTGTGTCGGAAGTGATGTATCGAGCGGCTCGGATGATTATTAAAATTGGCCATGTCTCAAGCCAAAGGGGCATCCAAGTCTGTGTACCCATGGACAATTCCGAGTTGCCTCTTTGTGTATGCAAAGAGACAAATGTCATCTGCTGTGGCAGGTCGTAGCATATGCACGCGCAGGGATACAGCGACGTGCCATATAGCTGTGCGCGACACCGCTATGCGGATTGGTCTGTACCATTTCAGGCACGATGCATAAAATCGAAGCTCAGGGGGATGGATGTCAAACACCCCGACACGATCGCTCATAACGGCGCTGCTCGCCACAAGAGCGTCAAGCTCGACTGGCATATACAAAAGCCGAGGCGAAAGAAGGTCTGTAGAAGAACCAAGTCCGACAGTCCATCGACCTCATCTCAAATACCGCGGCAGATGATCTTGCCTAACATCAATCTCCGTGCGAACGGTAATATCCAGCCAGCTAGTATCATTACTCTTAACACTGGAGGGCAGACCGCCCTCACTCGAATCCGACCTTCTCGGGACACCATTTTCCAACTTAATAGACTCCGCAGTGGAAGTCTTGCGACCCGTAGCCACAAAGTTCGAGGTACTGACATCGGTATTCCCATAATAGGGGACCTCGTTCCGGTACTTGTAGTTATTGCTCGAGAGCTTTCCTCTCGGAAACAGGCCTCGGATGGTGGGCAGACAAGAGCAAATCAGCCCAATGGAGGGCTCAATATGCGTCCATAGCGTAGCTTGATAGACGGTATAGGTCATATCCGACTCATTGATCCAGAAGAGGACGACAACGCGGAAGATACTCGCGAAGCAAACGAAGCCGCCGAGAGCGAAGACGCCGTTGATGGCGAGTTTGTCTTGCCAGGCGCGGTGGAGACCCCAGATTAAGGGGATGGGGAGGGCTAGGAGGACGAAATCCATGACCACGTTGAAGATTTGGTTGACAACGATTAGGGTATAGCCGTCTAGGCATTGGCCGTCGACGCTTTGGTCCCAGTAGGCTTTTAGGGGGCGGCATTGGAGAGCGCAGGCGAGGAAGACGCCCAGGCCCCAGAGGCTTATGAGGACGTTGATGCTGAAGGATGTCCATTGGAAGGTGCGGGTGGTGAAGATGCGGCGGTAGAAGCAGACGATTGACACTTTGATGAGGGGACAGAGGGAGAAGTAGGTGAATTGGTTGGCGAGGAAGATCTGAGGTGGGTTAGTTGGTGAAGAAAAGATGGGATGTGAGTGTGGTAGGGAGCGGATAGTACCTTGTAGAAGTTCATCATTGTCTCGTTGCTCAAGTTGCTTTGATGAGAGCCGTTGCCGCCGATGGTAACCCCTTTGGTTGATTATTAGCAAGGTTGTATACTATGTATTGGTTAATAAATTCCAGGATAACTCACAAAGTGAGAGTTCAATGAGCATGCCGATTAGCAGGAGCATGCATGCGAAGCATAGGTAGTCGTCCACCCCAAAATGTACTTTGCGTTTGAATCGGGCGACTATGCGTAGAATGACTGCTAAAAATGCGAGACTAACAAGCACCGTAACGATGCTTATCATTTCAACTCCTCTCGATGTAGGAGCCATGTTGGACAGGGTGTTACTGGGAACAATGGTTTTAGGAAATGAAGAATGGGTATGAACGAGTGTTTGATTGAGCGAGGGTAAGCAATATGATGCCTGCGATCATTACGCTTCGTAGTCCATTTGGGCGGTAGATATGGAAATGAGTGTTGATAACGAATGTTCAGGTAAAATGAGGAGGGTGCTGAGATATAACGAAGGCAACCCGAGCATATGCCGAAGCATGAACTACTATGTGAATTGGGGAAAAAGGGACAGAGCTACAAAATAGGGTGGAAGCCTATTGAATATGTATGGAGTGGACCAAGGGTATCATACCTCGAACGCTTGATCGCAGGGAAAAGTGGTAGATCTAGATATGGGCCCTCTTTCCGTATGAGGATACTCACCGCGCCCATAGAGCAGGGAGCCAAAGGACCCATCATCTTGTGAGCTTAAAAGCAAGCCTCTCATTTGCGGGTGCCTCTTTTTCCACACAATCCACAAACTGGAATTTTTGGTTCTTTGAAACGCACCCGAAAAACCATTCACCAGTGCACGCTGATAGCCTCCATGGTGTGCTAAGCAAGTGGAGCCGGTCGTATGACTTGAGTCAGAGTGGTTCCAATGTGTCCACTCTGATGTTGACAGACAGACCATCCTCGTGGCAAGGAACAAGCCATCATTGGATTTGTAAACAGTAATACTGGCAGTCCGGATAGTATAGATAACTCATTTGGCGACATAATCGCCGTGATTCCCGACTTGTGCTTCAACCTCAATTCATCAGGATCATGCAAGGTAATTTCCGGCGTAATATCAGTTAATATAGATCCCAATCTACCTTCAGCTGGTCTATTTCACACTTGGCTCCAATGTATCGGGATCTCGGGATCCACGGCCTAGGAACCCTGGCTCCAAGTGTATTAATTGTGGCGAGCATACGCAATGGGCAGTGATAGCGCCAGAGTGTTTCACTCTCCATCATGTTGATAGTAGATCAGTGAAGAACCCCCCAGGCTTGGGGTAATTCGGAAGTTTATTTTCTGCTATTGAATTGATTGATCTGCAATATCTTCTTCATCCCATAATCTGCAGTATAAAACAAGTTACTCAGGGCGATCGCGAATTCAATTGCACTCACTGCTGAGTGCGCATTCCGTGTTTCCGCACAAGCGGATCAGGCGATGGCTGACGAGGGGTGAGGTGGGTATAGAAGAGCCTATCGGGAACCCTAAGGAACTCAGATGGGTATGTTCAGCCCCATGCTCCTTGAAACTGGAGAACTGTGGTTTCAGCTCCTCCAATCATCAACGACTCTGCCAATTTGCAGTCATTCAGAAATTTTCACTCGCAGTAGTAATCGGCCAGACTGTCCCAGCTACTCCACTGCCCTGGATGAGGTGGTAACAATGACTCGCAATGAGGCATGTAGCACACACACTGGTCTTCGGCCAAAAAGGCTATTAGAGTGTAGCCATCCAGGTATCGTTGAAGTTTCCTCTCTTTCCGCTTTCTTCCCGCTTCTCTTTCCGTTCCATGTCTGTTTGATCCAAATGCTTTGATTAGCCGAACCACGGGTGGCTTTTTTGATCGACAGCCGCCGGTTCCCAAAAGGGCCGAGCGTTACCTAAACTCAACGATCAACCTCGGCGCTTCCGAAGAAAGGTACGTGGAAGGCAACAGTCTCGATTTCTCTCACGTCAGCGAGCACATGGCTTGCAATGCATAAAGTTGCGGCTATTGGAATAGTTTCCTCAATGGTCTCTTAAAAGTGGATTGGAGAGCCACCTTAACTGGCCCAGTATGAACAAGGCCCCATCCCTGTTCGTCTGCAGCACGCATGCATAACATTGATCGACTATATATGTAGTGAGATGAGTCTTAGCATTCTTAGCTGTCTAGTATTTACCACAGACTACTAGTAAGACATCAGGGGTATGGAGTAGGGAGTAAATAGTCATGTTAAATAGTGACAAGTCGTTACTTGGATTTGCCGTGGCATGAAACCCGAGAGTACTCCGTAGAACCCCTATCTGAGAATTGGTCTCCTTCCAATTTTATGCCCTTCACCATCGTTGGAAATGGTGGCACGCTCAACGTAGCGAGTTTCATATGTGTATAGGATAGTGATTATAACTTTAGGGAGAATACATTGAGCCTGGGAACAATCCTGAGGCAGTTGTCACACGTGGCTGGAGTGAGGGCTTTCCCCCCCCCCCCGCCGAGCTGGAAAGGTGGGGTCGTGTTTGTAGAATTGGCTTTGTTTGTGTAATCAATTGACTCCTCGGCTGACTCTCCTACCAAATGCAGGGTCTTCGATTGTGGTTCAGTCCTTCAAACTGCATCTTACCTATTAATCCCGATTGTTAACCCCCTGGTGGGATACCCCTATTGCTTGAATGTTTCGTTCGTGAACACATACTATCGTTTGTTTCTACCCGCACCCCTACTTTTACAGACCCTACAATGGCTGCACCTCCCCGCCCACCGGTGATCCCCTTGATCATCAACGGTCAAGAGGAATGCACGGGCTCGACCTTCGACGTCATTAGCCCCTATACCAACCAGACCTGCTGGACAACTGCATCGGCCTCGGCTCAAGATGCTATCCGCGCAGTTGAGGCCGCAGAGGCCGCTTTTCCTTCTTGGTCGCAAACAAAACCCACAGTTCGGCGTGATCTCCTGCTGAAGGCAGCCGATATTTTGGAGAGCCGCCTCGAGCAGAATGCCGAATATATGCGAACCGAGATGGGCGCAGATGTGGGTGCGTCACAGCATTTTATCGTTCCACTCGGGATCCGCATGTTGAGGGATATCGCGGGGCGCATCACTTCCATTTGTGGTAGCGTCCCGGTTGTTGAAGAGGAGGGCCAAAGTGCCATGATCTACAAGGAGCCCATGGGGGTGATCCTCGGGATCGTGCCCTGGTAAGTCCGTCAGCATTCCTACATGTGAATTAGCGACTGACCTAGCAGGAATGCTCCATATGTGTTTGGAGTCCGTTCTGCAGCCTGTGCACTTGCGGCGGGCAACACGACTATCTTGAAATCTTCCGAGCTCTCTCCTTGCTCGTACTGGGCACTTGCGCGCGCTTTCCATGATGCAGGCCTACCTGCTGGTTGTCTGAATTTGGTGTCATGCCGACCCCAGGATGCCCCCGAAGTAGTTAACGCCATGATCGAGCACCCGGCCGTGCGCAAGATCAATTTCACCGGCAGCACGGCCGTAGGCAGAAAGATTGCGGGCGCTTGTGGTCAGAATCTCAAGCCATGCTTGATGGAGTTGGGAGGCAAGAACAGCGCCATCGTCTGTGCGGATGCTGATATCAAGACTGCTGTAAAGGGAGTGCTTGCGGGCGCTTATCTGAACGTATGTAGCTCGCCCTTACACCCTTTACTACTTTATTCTCGCTTCCGATGACTGATTTTGCCTAGTCTGGCCAAATCTGCATGGCAACTGATCGCATTCTTGTTCACTCCTCCATTGCACCCGTCTTTATCGAGGCGCTGAAGGAGGCACTCACATCCAGCGTTGACCCTGCGTCTCAGCCTCCGACTTTGGTGAACATGGCGTCAAAAGCACGGGTTAGCAACCTCGTCAAGGATGCTCTGGCAGGTGGTGCCCACTTGATTCACGGATCTGTAGACCACGACTCCGCTCAATCAGACAATGGCGTTCGGATGGCGCCTGTACTCCTGGGTGGTGTCAATGAAAAGATGGCCGCTTGGCAAGAAGAGGCCTTTGCCTCCTTGGCAGCATGCATGATTGTTGAGAGCGATGAAGAGGCAATCAAGATCGCCAATGGTAGTGGCTATGGTTTGTCCGCGGCCGTCTTCACCGAAGATCTACGCAAGGGCCTGGCCATGGCCCGCAAGATCCAGTCAGGGTAAGCCATAATCCCTCTATGCGTCTGTCTCTTAAGGACTGAGGAACTAACTGATGGTTTGCAGTGCCGTTCACATCAACAGTATGACCATCCATGACGAAGCTGTCCTGCCGCACGGTGGAGTTAAGAACAGTGGATGGGGCCGGTTCAATGCGTCCCAGGGCCTGGAGGAATTCCTGGTTACGAAGAGTGTGACGTGGATGGATTAATTAGGATTGCGGAGCATTCCTCTACATACATACGAGCGTCAATTTAGCATAAAAAAATTCCGACGGTTGCTGCCTCGAGGGCATTATATGCAGAATAAAAGGCCTGAGGGTTCTCTAATATTTTCAACCGTGTTCACAGATTTTCGAATGATTCTCCAAGATTTATATTCTACTATAACAACCTTCCGCCATTCGGACATGGGTTTCGATTGCTGTTGTATAATTATGAGTGCCTACTTGCTCTCATCATGTTACAGTACTCCGATAGATGCAAGCCTGTCTTTTGACAGGTGATTAGGTTTTGTGGTTCTGACAAACAAGGCGACCGACAAGTCTCACAAGTCCTACCTGAGCGGCTTTTGATCATGTGCCACACGGCTAAGTGGTTTGCTCTGTGAACCTCAAGCTCACCTTGTCTCCCTTACCTAAACTACAGCAGCCAAATACTGGCGAATACAGTGCCAAACAGATATAGAACAACTTGAGCATGATGGCCCTCTTACCTCATGTCTTTGCTGACCTTACTGCTTCATCTGTAACTTAGCATCATGTGTGGCTTCCTTAGAATTTCCCTTGCGATCTTCAATGTTTCAGAAATCCTGCGCTCAAGTCTCACCTCAGCGTTCTTTCGTTTATACTGGCCAAGGATCCCAGTGGGCAGGTATGGGAAAAGAACTATTGGAGAAATATCCTTGTTTCCAGGAAGATATATTAAGACTTGAGAGAGCCCTGAAAGGTCTTCAAGGTCCACCATCATGGTCTCTTCGGGGTGAGTCGGCTGATCTCTCTACATTTGCAAGCACGAACCGTTTACTAACAGGCATTAAAGAGGAGCTGTGCCGGACTAGCGACTCACGCGTTAATGAAGCGGAATTCTGTCAGCCACTCTGTACGGCCATTCAGATAGGACTTTTCAACCTTCTCGGGTCCTCGGGAGTGCTGCCAGCTGCTGTAGTTGGACACTCCAGCGGTGAAATTGCAGCTGTTTATGCAGCAGGTGCTATCTCGGAACAGTCGGCTATAATACTCGCATATTATCGCGGTAAGCTGGCCAAACAACAAATGGGTCTGGGAGAAATGGCGAGTTTTGGCCTCTCTAGCGAAGAGGTTAATCTATATCTCGAAGACGGAGTGGTAATCGCATGCAGGGATAGTCCTCAAAGTGTCATTCTATCCGGTGAAGAAAGTAAAATCGATGTTATAGTGGAGAGGATTAGAAATGATCTTTCTGATATCTTTTGCAGAAACCTTGGGCTCAAGATCGCATATCCCTCACGTGAGTCACCAGCATACCGCAACAAAGGGAATTGGTATCTACATGGCATCAGAACAAATGAAGTGCCTAAAGCCCCTTTATGAGGCCCCTCTAGCAGGTCACTTGCAAATAAACTCCCATATGTCACCGATGCTGTCAAGTGTCACTACGGCTATGGTGACGGACCCTCAGGAGCTTGGCGCGGCCTACTGGAGAAGGAACCTTGAGTTTCCCGTTCTTTTTAATGATGCAGTGAGCAATCTGCTAAAGGAATACAAGGCCAATATACTACTCGAGATAGGTCCCCATTCTGCATTGTCAGGTCCTCTAAAGCAGATATTTTGTAGCCACAGCCTGAAGCATGGCCCACTCTATATTCCCATCTTGAAACGTTGCGATGATACTAGCTTCGATGCTAGCTGTGAAGTTCAGTTCTTGTCCGCGCTAGGCTTGATCCACAGCAACGGGGCCATTGTTGACCTGATGTCAGTGAACGGTAGGGGGCATGTCGTGACAGACCTTCCTCCGTATCCCTGGCAACACGGTACACGATACTGGAATGAAAGCCGCTTGGTGAGAGACTGGAGGTTGAGCAGTATGCCACTTCATGAACTGCTCGGCTCACGGTGTCCCGAGTCTACAGATCTTGGGCCTTCGTGGCGGAACATACTTGGCACTGGGAGCAACGCATGGCTTGCTGACCATATCCTCCGGGGTCATGTAGTATTTCCTGCAGCTGGTTACATCGCTATGGCAGGTGAAGCATTCCGACAGCTCAACCCAGGCACTGAGGGATTTGCTGCGAAAAACGTGCTATTCAAGAGCCCTCTGGTCATAGATGAGACGGGTAGCGTGGACATTATCACGTCTCTCAAGCCAGTTGCCTTTAATGACATGATGAATTCAGAATGGTATTCTTTCGTAATAGCAAGCCACGATGGCAGTGTTTGGACGGAGATCTGCAGCGGTCAAGTCCAGGCAGGAGCCGAGCATGAGCCTTGCCAGATCAAAATTCTGCGTTATGCGCGCCAGGTTTCTTCTGAGAGATGATATGAGGCTCTGTCAGAACTTGGGCTTTCTTATGGTCCCCAGTTTCGCGGTTTACAGAATATTTCTGCCGACCCGTTAGGTGGAAGAGCCTCAGCCAATGTGAACCTAGTGAAGCAACATGAGAGCCATTACGTTATCCACTTAACTATGCTTGATCGATGTCTTCAGCTTATGAGTGTTGCAGGCGCAGCCGGAGTTTGCCGACGCATTATCAAGAATGCCATTCCCTCTTCTGTTGAGCACTTGCTCGTCAGGAGCGTTGGCGAATACATGGACATTAATGTGGATGTCAAACAGGAAACTGGTAACTTCCTAGCTGGGGATGCAACTGCTATGTTCGAAGACAAAGTTGTACTTTCCATGAAGCGCGGGATGCTCTTCTCACATGGCAGTGAAGGAAATATAAGGCCCATCCCACTTATGGCCCAGGTTCAATGGAGGCCTGATATTGATTCCAGCCGCCTCAGGTGTTGCTCCCACACTTCGAGATGTCCAAATCCCTACTGGAGACCCTAGACCAGACGAATACAATTGCAGGGATTTACATGTTACAGACAGTCGAGAAAATCAAGCATATTCAGCCACAGGCCTCGCATTTATCCAAGTGGAAGGATTGGCTTCTGACTAAAGAAGCTAATATATACAACGATGCTCAGATATTAAGTTCCTATTGTGACAGGTGGGCTCTGATGTCGACCGTGGAAAAGGAGGCCATCATTGAAGATCTACGCTTCGAACTGGTACATGAAGAGGACCCCATGATCCCGGTTGTCTGCATGGAACGAATTTATACAAACTGCGAGGACATCATGGCTGATAAAGTCACTGCGCTGGACCTACTCAATAACAACAATCTGATGGGGCAATACTACGCTTGAAGTCATAAGTATGTTGACTGGAGTCATTTCTTGACCCTACTCTGCCATCTAAAACCAGGGTTACGTATATTAGAGATCGGCGGGGGCACTAGAACGGCCACCGCAGCCGCATTGCGTTCGTTATACAACTTGGGAGTGCCCATGTACTCCAATTATATTTCACTAATATAGCGCCCAATTCCCTTGAGGAAGCTCGTAACAGATTTACATCTCACAAAACATGCAACATGTAACTTTGGACATCAGACATGATCCTCTGGAACAAGGCTTCGCAGAATCCGCATTCAATCTCATTATCGCATCCAATGTGAGACTTCTTTGGACGAAAGAGCTTGGGGTCACTAACATATTATACAGGTTCTCCGTACAACACCAAGCTTGACACGTTCGTTGGAACATATTAAAAAGCTGCTTTCCCCAAATGGGTACATTCTGCTCCATGAGTTGCACTCAGGTAGAGGTGTCTTGAAGAAGTTCTGCGTTATTAGTTCCGTGCTAAACGTCTGGAGTAGAAGCACTGTATACAGATTATATTATGGTAAGTGTTCACATAACGTATTTTGCTTAAATGTACCTCTCCGTCTGCGATTCAAATGAATAAGATATATTGTTTTGGTCCTCTAGTTAGCGCAGTCACAGGTTATTGTATTCATATGTGCACCTTCTGACTCATCTCTATAGGGAGCATTGCCTTCGTGGTTGATAGGTGAGGACAGACGACGCGACGGGCCTTACATGATCCCAGAGAGATGGAACCAAGAGCTCCAGGATGCTGGCTTACTGGGACTGACATGATACGATACGACTTTGATGCACCTTACCGATCTTCAGCAACCATGATCACAAACTCAGACCCAGATCGACAATCAAGCCAACTATTTCGTTGCTAGTTGCCGACAGGCAGTCTCCAGGTATCTGGGCGAATAAGCTTGAGAATCCGAATAGTGGTGTGCTTGATGAAGGGACAGCAGAGATGATGTCTAGCGAGGTGGTGGACTAGTAGCTGGTGAGATATGGAGCAAATTAGTTTGCTTTTTCGGAGACAGTGTGTTCTAGATTGTTATAGTCTGAATGGCTACCAGTACGGCATCATACAATTAGCCCTATGATGCTAAATTAATTAGACCATTTTAGTCCATATATTACTGCTGTGCAAAAGCAAACCCGAAAAAAAAAAAATAAAACATGCACAACTTTTCGGTGTATCTAATTGCCAATAATAACCCCGAGAGTATCTTCATGCTCAGAAGCTAACTGAATCTCTCGGGGTATCTATTCCCGAAACCTCACTCCCTCTCACACTTCCTCTCTCGCCCGTCCGTCCGTCAACCCCGTACTGACCAGTTACATACATACATACATACATACGGCGCTAAGAAAACAGATCTCAGATTTAATATGTTTAAGCAGTAGACAATAACAAACAAGATGCATGCAGAACGCGGTCTGTTTAGTGAGTTGCAAACCCCTAACAAAAACAAAAGAAATGCGACGGCAATCGAACCTTCCCAAAAAGGCAAGTTCAATAAACGGACGGATCTACGTCATTACGTAGTTGAGTCGTCGGAATTCAATCACAGGATGCTGATTGGTGGGAATGTGAGATGGTGGTCAATTGCCGGGAGGGTCAGGTGACGGGGGAGAGAGGGATCGGTTGTTGGTATGCGGGGAGTACTGTGTATGTTTGTATTATGTGTGTGTTGTATGCTGAGGCTTTGTTTTTAGTATGCTTATGTAGCATTATGTTCTTCAGGGGTTATGTTAGTGAGTAATGGTGTAGTGTGAGTTTGGGGGTCTATGGGCTGATCTGAGGTGGTCGGTGATGTTGATGATGTCTCGGTCCGAGGTAAGTATTCGAGGCAGACACCTGGGGTAACATTCATTCTTCAGCGTCACCTTCCCTGTCTTTGTTTGTATGGGTGTATGTTATGTATGGAGTATTTTTGATACTTGAATAGGGTGTATTTAATAGTATAGGTATAGATAGATAATTTGGGCCTTATTGATGGCAGGTATATTTATTGTTGTGGTGAATATATATTGTGAGACCAAGACACTATCTTCAAGAGCGACAGTACATTCCCAATCTATCTAGACATCTTGTTCATGGATCTTGATGGACCATACACCCCAGCATCTCAAAATTGAGACGAAATCATGAATCTGGGGTGAGAGTTTAAATCCAAGAGCATGACGTGCCGCGCTGACTTAAGCCTACGATTTCATTTGCTGAGAGGTTACTTCTGGATTTCCAGGCATGTGAAAGTCAGGGAGAGTAAGTTCTAGTTTCTTTTTGCCATCAAAAGTAGTAAGTAATAGTATGTCATGGGAAGACACCGCAGGGGGTCAGCTTGCAGCTCCTGGTGACGGACAACTTCTGCATGTGATGGTCCCTGGAAAACTCACTAGTATTTTGTGTCAAAGACAGGGGAGAAGATCAAATGTCTACTGTCTACTTATTATTCTCTTTAAATAAACTAGTTATAGAACCCGTCATTCAGTCAATCTTAAAGCACAGGCCAGACAGACAGATAGACAGACAGAAAAAGACCCATCGAATCCACTTTAGACATTTTTATGAGTTCCTCAAAAAGTAGAAGGAACATTACCGGACCGGAAAAGGGAGGGTAGAAGATAGACTAGAAGATAAAGAGGAGGGGGTCATAGAACGGTAATCGTACGGTACATACCAAGTTGGAATTGAATGGGGGAAGATGAGCCTCGGCCGAGTGAGCAACTCAGTCTCTCCCCCGTCGGCTTCTGAATGCCTGGCTCTCTCTCTTTCTTCCCCCGGATCTCCTGCTGCTTAAAGATCTACTTGTTCCTACCTGCTTTTTGACCCTTTAAACTCCTCCTTTTCATCTCTCCCCCCATTCATCTTCTGATTTTCTCTTTCCTCAACCTCTCCTCCTACATCTTCCTCTCACAACGATGGCAACCGCCCCTAGAGTAATTGTTGTCGGCGGTGGACGTGAGTTGATCTTCACCGCCAGGAAATAGCTTTCCCCGCATTGCTGACCATTGCCTCGTCTCTCAGTGTCCGGGCTTAGTGCCGCCCACACCGTCTACCTTAACGGTGGAAATGTCCTCGTTCTGGACAAGCAGGGTATGTTTACAACCCCCAAATTCCTGCGATATTAGCAGTCGCATTATTGTTGTTTATATAAGGACCTGCGATCTGACCCAAACACTAAACAGCCTTCTTTGGTGGCAACTCCACCAAGGCCACTTCCGGCATTAACGGCGCCTTGACGCGCACCCAGGTCGACTTGGGCATCGCCGACAGCGTCAAGCAATTCTACGATGATACCCTCAAATCTGCCAGAGACAAGGCTCGTCCCGAGCTCATCAAGGTCCTCACATACAAGTCCGCGGCTGCCGTCGAGTGGTTGCAGGATGTTTTCAACCTCGATCTCACCCTTGTTTCCCGGCTAGGGTAAGTATTGCGCTCTCCTTGTTCATCGAACTTTTGTCGCGCAACCCATGCTAATTCCTGCAGCGGTCACTCCCAGCCCCGTACGCATCGTGGCCACGATGCCAAGTTCCCCGGAATGGCCATCACATACGCCCTCATGCAGCGGTTAGAAGAGCTCACCGAGGCTGAGCCCGACCGTGTGCAGATCCTCAAGAAGGCCCGTGTGACCTCCATCAACAAGTCTGGAAACAATGTCACGGGCGTTACCTACGAGTACGATGGCGAGACGCATACTGCTGAGGGTGTGGTCGTTCTGGCCACTGGTGGTTACGCCGCTGACTTCGGCGATGGCTCGCTCCTGAAGCAGCACCGCCCCGACACCTTCGGTCTGTCCAGCACCAACGGCACTCACGCCACTGGTGATGGTCAGAAGATGCTGATGGAGATCGGTGCCAACGGCATTGACATGGATAAGGTTCAGGTGCACCCCACGGGTCTTGTCGACCCCAAGGACCCCACCGCCAAGTTCAAGTTCCTGGCTGCTGAAGCCCTGCGTGGTGAGGGTGGTCTCCTCCTCAACTCGGACGGCCAGCGGTTCTCCGATGAACTGGGTCACCGTGACTACGTCTCGGGACAGATGTGGAAGGAGAAGGAGAAGGGCAAGTGGCCCATCCGCCTCATCCTCAACAGCAAGGCATCCAATGTCCTGGACTTCCACACCCGCCACTACTCCGGCCGTGGTCTGATGAAGAAGATGACCGGCAAGGAGCTTGCCAAGGAGATCGGCTGCGGCGAGGCTGCCCTCAAGAAGACTTTCGACGACTACAACCTGATCGCCGAGGGCAAGAAGAAGGACCCTTGGAACAAGCGTTTCTTCCACAACCTGCCCTTCAGCATCGATGACGACTTCCACGTGGCTCTGATGGAGCCTGTCCTGCACTTCACCATGGGTGGTATTGAGATCAACGAGCACGCCCAGGTCCTCAACTCCGAGAAGGAAGCCTTCGACGGCCTCTACGCCTGCGGTGAGCTGGCTGGTGGTGTCCACGGTGCCAACCGTCTGGGTGGTTCTTCCCTGCTGGGCTGTGTCGTGTACGGTCGCGTTGCAGGTGACAGCGCTAGCCAATACCTCTTCCAGAAGCTGCTTTCCGGCGGTGCCTCCACGGCCGCCCAGCGTCTGGGCCAGATCTCCCTGCACATCGATCCATCCACCCCCGGAAAGATCTCCGTCGAATGGGGCGGCTCCGGTGCCGCTGGCGGCCAGGTCGCTGCCGGTGCTGGAACCCCCGCTGCCGCGGCCCAGGGTGCCAAGTCGGCTGCCACCCCTGCCGGTGCCGCTGAGACAGCCAAGCCTAAGGAGCCCGCCAAGTTCAGCATTCCCGAGAAGGAATACTCAATGGAGGAGATCGCCAAGCACAACAAGAAGGACGACCTGTGGATCGTCGTCAAGGGTGTCGTGCTGGACGTGACCAACTGGCTCGACGAGCACCCCGGTGGAGCTAACGCTCTCTTCAACTTCATGGGCCGCGATGCCACCGAAGGTATGTCTTGTGCACAACTTTGTCCCATTCCATCACTGAAAATATATATACTAACTTGAATCGCCTTTTACAGAATTCGCCATGCTCCATGACGACGAGGTCATCCCCAAGTACGCCGGTCACATTGTGATTGGCCGTGTCAAGGGCCAGACCCCTAGCCTTGAGCTGTAAAAACATTTCCATGAAAATTAGAATTGGAGATATACACGTTGGAGAAAGAGAGAGTAACCAGGAAGAGATCACATACCCATTTTTGTCTTTTATTGATTTGTCGAGCATGTTCATGTCCACACGTGCCTTGGTGATGATGAATAGTTTTTCGTTGTTTTTCCAGGAGTCACTCTGTCCTTAGTATGTAAGATACAATCTTATTCCATTATCCTTAGACAGTCACCAGCAGATATATTGTAAGACATTAGTAATGATAGTAGCACATAACTAGTAGATAGTAGCTGCAACGTGACCAGTAATAGTATGTCTCCTTCGGGACCAGTGAAGATCGAATGAAACATGTGTGTAATATATATATATATGTATATATATCCTAGCGGCAGGGATCCATTTATCTGATCAGATCATTATAATACAATAACTAGTTATATCAATCAACATATGAATAAGCCGGGAGTACTAGTCCTCGGCAAATCCGGGGTCATTGCTGCATGTGCCTCAAGATCATCTTCAGACGTCGCACGGCAGGCCCCTCCTCCGTGCTTCCGGACTCCTTATTGGATTCCAGTTCCTTGGCCGCAGCCTCTAGCGTAGGGCGCAGGTAGCCCCAGACTTCGTCGTGGTATCGGTCCTCGACACTCAGCCAGTCTGCTGCGCCGGGGAGACCGGTCAGCACGGTGTCTCGCAGGGTGGCTACGTCAGAGTGACTTTCTGATGGGAGGGTGTCTAGAAAGTCGCCAATGTCCGGGACTAGACTGCGGGATGTCAATGTGTTATTGCCGGACGATGTCGGGGGTGTGAAACGACGGAAGGACTCGATCATTTGTTTTTCTTCGGTTGTGAGTTGCATTGGTAGCAGCTCTGTTTCGACGAGCTCGGCGGGCTCGTCGGCTGTGGGAGGGAATTCGGGATCGAAGGTCTGGTCTGAGAGGAGGGATACGACTGCGTCGCCGTCGGATGGGAGGAGAGAGGGTCGGTCGGGGAGGAATCTTTGTTCGGGTGTGATTGGATTAGTTGGATCGCTGGAGGGCAGGTCCGTTGATGTATCTCTTGCTTTTCCTTTCCCTTTTCCCTTGCTGGTAGTTTCGTCTGCGCTTAGACCTGTAATGAAGCTGCCATTGTCTCCAACAAGGGATTCCGCGCCGTAAGTACGCTGGAATTCATCTTCCGAGAGTGGAGGGAGCTGGAACCCTCCCTGTTGCGTAGTAGAAGATGAGCGAAATGTTTCCGCAGCAGCAGGTAGTGAAGAATTCCCGGTCGAGGAAGAGGCAGAAGTAGTAGAACTATCTGTGTACTGCTGGGCTGCTGCGGCTAGCGCCGAGTGTGACGATGAGTGCCCGGCCTTACCGCTGCCCGCCAGCAGTTGAGCGGAATCTGCGGACGAGCCAGGGGCAGAAAACACATTCTTTGCAAGCCCGGAAGCTGAGTTTTGAATTCGAGTAGCTAGAGAAGGACTTTCCGGGCGTTCATTGGTACCTTGGGAGGAATTGGTCTCGTTGCGGTGAGTGTTTGCGACCTTGTCGTCACTGCCCCGCTTCTTCTGGTCGGACATGGCGGGCGGGGAGAGTCAGTGCTACTACTGCCAGGAGGTACAGTACCAGGTCGCCCACAGCATTAAGACAAGTACAGACAATTCAAATGAGAGATTTCGGATTGAGTAGAAAAAGAAAAGATAAGAGAGGCTAGTAATTTTTCCTGTCGATATTCCGGACGAGAATGATTAGTTGTTCGGCCCAAGGGAGTCGGGATCCGTAGGAAGGCGTGCATGTGAAGAGCCTCAGGCCAAGAAGGTGCGGGAGTCCTGAGATTCCAGGCAACGCGGCAGGAACCATGAAGCTTGCAACGGTTTAGTAGTAATTGAAGAATGAGTGGCAGAGAGTGGGCTGGGGATAGTTAATTCCTCAATATGAAGATATTTCTCGCATTCCTGGCTCCTGTGTATATGATCCGACCGAGATCCACCTACTACCGACTTACCAGTGAACCCCTCAATCCTTTGTTGGCCTCAATAGTGGTCAGTAGTATATCTTGTTAGGCGAGCTTCATGCTGGATCAACAGAAAGGCAACCGCCAGGACAATCTTGTTCCCTGAAGACGAGGGAGACCAGGTCAATTATATATTGAATTTTCGAGTGCCTTTCTTCGACCCAGAAGAAGGACCTTCATGGAGGAGTATGGCATGCATAATACAATGGATGCAGATAAAAAGAAGAACAACCACAATGAATGGGTTGCAATGGAGGGGACAGTGGTTGATGTCAGCGCCCGGCACAGTTAGGTTAGGTTAACTAGTACGGAGGAGGTAACTAAGGTTGGGTTGAATGCTGCGTGTGGGTTTACGGGCAGCCACTTTGCTCCCCACCACCGATTGAACGGGTCTTGCCAAACCACCGCCTCACCTCAACCACCACCACATCAGTTCTCTCTCTCTCTCTCTCTTCCTCTCCTCCACCACTTCTCCTCCATCTCGCTCCCATCATCGTCATCCTCTTCTCCCTCCCACTTTACCCGCCCTCAACTACTCTTCCCCTCCACCCCCTCTCTCCCCCCTCCTTCTTTCTACCCTTTCAAACCGACCGTCGTCTTTTAGTACGGCTGGTCTGTGCTTGTCTTTGGGTTTTCCATTATTATTAGACACTAACACAAACACAACCCACTTATTCAAATCCTCAAGAAGAGAAGGGTGTCTCTTCCCGACTTCAAAGTCAAAAACCACCAAAAAGACCAAAAACAAAATTCCTCTCTCCCCACCCCCACCATTTTAATTACATTCTCCTCCTCCTCCTCCTCCTCTTGTTCTTATCCTGATCAGCTCCTGGCTGTCAATCATTCGTCTTCTCCAGTCTGCAAGTGACTCAGCCCGGTTCTCCGCCTCTCACGTTGCTGTCGGACGTTGCGGCCTTGCTTCCTTCCTCCCCCTCTCCGCCTCTGCCATTCCCTAGTCGGATATTCCAGACCTTCCTTGTTTCCACTTGGGGCTCACTCCGATCTCGATACCTCGCCGCCTGTCCGTCATTCCCACCGCTACCCCTCTTCTTTTCGCTCCGAACGAAATTAGACAGTCGTGTGGAAAAAAAGTTCTCTTCAGCTCGAATCTTTCGCAGCACGAAATCGCTATCTGCAGACCCCGCCTTAGCCGTCGCAAACGAGATCCTCGATTTGCGGCCCCTAGACCCTTCCTTTCTTGGTCGCTGATAGACAACCCCGACAAAGGGTAATTGCAAAAGAAAATGGTAGACCGGGAACCAGGTACCCCTACCTGGAAGTTCACCCAGTGAGTAGAATCCCTTGCATGTCTCTGCTGCAGTGGTGCTAGTTGTTTCCGGTGGATGCGCCGACTTTCGATCTTTGTCGTGTTTTCTTCCACATTCGGGTGAGGATCGAGTGGGTGTCGGGATATTGTGGGGGACTGCGATGTCCGCCCGTTCTCGAGGAAACGACTTGCCCGCAGTATCCGATTCTTGCTAATCACTCTCTAGATGTTTTGGTGACAAGGGAGATGTGGAAGATATTACGGAAGGTATGTTAAACACCTCATATTGCTGAGTATCGAGCTCCCGCTCTACAACCCCGCACCATATCCCTTCAGAGTCGGCTAACATTGCTCGCTCGCTCGCTCGCCAGCGGATATCATCTCAACCGTCGAGTTTGACCACACCGGAAACTACCTAGCTACGGGTGACAAGGGAGGACGAGTGGTGTTATTCGAGAGAAACGAAACGGTAGCAATGCCCTCGCCTTCTCTATGTCCTCAGGACAGACGTTTCTAACAGTCTGTCAGAAAAAAACCTGCGAATACAAATTTCACACCGAGTTCCAATCGCACGAGCCGGAGTTTGACTACCTAAAATCTTTGGAGATCGAAGAGAAGATCAACAAAATCAAGTGGTGCAGACGGCAAAATGCCTCCCACTTCCTCCTCTCGACCAACGATAAGACAATAAAGCTTTGGAAAGTCTTTGACAAGTCATTGAAGGTTGTCGCAGAGAACAACCTCTCGAGTGAACTGACTCCTGCGGGTGTCGGTGGTGGAGGGGCTCCCCGTGCGCCCCGTGTATCGTTCAAGGATCCCTCGATGCTGAAGCTGCCCCGCATGACACACCATGACACGGTTGTAGCGGCTGTACCTCGGCGGACGTACGCCAACGCACACGCATACCACATTAACAGCATCTCCGTGAACAGTGACGGCGAGACGTTTATCAGCAGCGACGATCTTCGGATCAACCTCTGGAACCTTAATATTCAGGATCAGAGCTTTAACATTGTGGATATCAAACCTGCGAACATGGAGGAGCTCACGGAAGTTATCACGGCTGCAGAGTTCCACCCGCAAAGTTGCAACTGGTTCATGTATGCCAGTTCCAAGGGCACAATCAAGCTTGCCGACATGCGGCAGCGAGCATTGTGCGATGAACATTCCAAGCGTACGTGTTGTTCTTCTGCAATGATTCCCTTTTGTCTGCAAGACACCCTCCTCTGACATGGATTCTTTCGTATAGTCTTCGAGCAAGAAGAGGATGCCTCCTCCCGTTCCTTCTTTTCAGAGATCATATCATCCATTTCCGACGTCCGGTTTTCACATGACGGTCGCTACATTGTGTCCAGGGATTACTTGACCGTCAAGATCTGGGATGTCAACATGGAAAAGCAACCCGTCAAGACGATCCCCATCCACGAGCACTTGCGACCGCGGTTGTGTGACACATACGAGAATGACAGCATTTTCGACAAGTTCGAGGTTGTTTTCTCGGGCGATGCGGAGAACGTGATGACTGGAAGTTACAACAACAACTTCATGATCTACCCCACCGACCCTAGCAAGGAGACGGAGATCGTACTGCAGGCGGATAAGTCTGCTTTCAAGGCGAAGAAGGTTGGCGTCCCCACGCCGATGAACAAGGGTGCGAATGGAAAGAAGAATGGGTCCAGAGCAGGCAGCCCTGTTGGCGTCGGCGGGCGCATGAAGAAGGAGACCGATGCGGATCAAATCGACTTTAACAAGAAGATCCTGCACATGAGCTGGCATCCTTATGAAGATAGCATTGCCATTGCTGCTACAAATAACGTACGTGTGCCCCGCCTTCCGAAAATATGCGGACATCTACTGACCCTGATGCGTGTACAGCTGTTTGTCTTCTCTGCGTTGTAAGTATGTGACAAAGTGGCCATAATCTTTAATGGACAAACATGTCATTATGTGATTCAAAGATAAGACAGGTATAAGACAATTAAGGTTTCCTAGCAGCAGCAGTCGCAAATCCAAAATTAAGTTGCCAGTTCCGGTTAAGCATCCATTTCTTGTGCTGTTTCTGTTGGAGTTAATTGTGAAGTGCTTCGTCGTTCCCCCGTTCCTCTTTTAGCCCATTTTTCTTCTTCTCTCCATCCTTGGACGAGGTGTCCGTTCTATCCTGTCTGTTTCGAGGAACATTGTGATGTTCTGTGGTCTTTTGGGGAGGCGTTTAGTGGGAACTTGATATAGAGAAAGACAACGTGGAGCCTGCAGAGGATATTCTAGTCCATTTGGCTGCCCGACGCCTGTTGAACTAATATGCTGTTGTGACGAGGCCATGGTCTCTGTTACCTATTGGGGAGGCGTCGGGCGATTTGAGTGCTTATGGCGTGATGAATCCACATCCGGTGTCACTGGAGCAAGAACTCCAAATGGCCCGGACTCGATGGTGATACTACTACCTTAGTGCCCCTGAGTAGATACTGAATCTATGGGAAGTTTGAGAGTTCTAGCATTAGCAGCAGCAGCAGCAGCAGCAGTAGTTCTTCATTTAATATTGATAGTACATCTAGTATAGTGGGTGAGTGATGCCAAGTACTGTGTAGGCGAAAATCTGGAGACAAACCCCAAGAATCAAAATTTTCCACACAACTTGTTACACAGACATGTCTTGCATAAAGAATTATGCTTTATATCGGACCTATTTGCAGTCGAACATACCTGATGCGGAGTAAAACCCTACAGCTCACTGCCACACAGCAGTTACTAAGGTTCAACTCGGACCGTCTCCAATTTTGTGTTACCGAGAGTTTAGAGACAGAGACCGTCAGTCAATGACGTCGGGGCCACACCCACGGGGATGCATCACTGTCGGGCCAATCAGCTTGCAGTGACTGTCGCGACCGGAAAATCATGGACCCGAGGGGCGGCACTATTGACTGGAAAGGGGTTAGTGCCATCAAAGGCCTCTCCGCCTTCTGTCGGGAGACCATCCGTGATCGGTTGCGCGCAAACCATCATCACCTACTGGATCTGCTGCTTGCTGGCTCTTCACCTCTTTCTTCGCTTTCTTATTCTTCCCTCTATCCCGGATCCTACTTATCGCTCCTGCTGATCGTCTTTTCGTGGCTTCCTGCGTCTTCTTACCCCTCTGCTATTGGCAGAATCTCTAGCACAGTTATGTCGCTGTGAAATCCAGCTCGAGGAAGAGATACCCCAAGCCGTGTGTAGAGGAACCACCGTGCGAGACCCTCATCCGCAGGCTCACTACCTTCTTTCACCTTTGCCCTGCAGTTGCCTAGTGCTCTGAGCAGGTATCAGTACTGTCAACATTCTATTCATGTGCCACTGACCATGAACTCTTCTGGCAATGATAACTGGCACCCCGGTGGCCCGCCAGCGCACCCGGGGATGGATCAGATGAACCAAGGACCTCGTCCTCTGGGCTCCTTCAGGTATGTCACTACTGTCTCTAGCCACTTTTGCGTCTTTGTCGACAGCGATGACTGACTGGTGTCTCTGTCGCGATCTAGCCAAAACCCACCGCCTCAGCAAGGCCCGTCTTCGCAGCCCACGGGGCCGGTTCTCCCCCCTCCAGCTGGTTAGGATTTTCACCTCCCTCCTGATTTGTCTCGCGATATGGCTTACAGAGCGTTTTTTGGACGTTTGGCTGACCCCTGCGCTGCTGTTAGGTCCTTACCACCCTGCGAATCAACCTGGCGGACACTCTCTTCCCGGCCTGGCGGAGCTGAGCCAGGGCCATGCTGGTCCGCATCAGCCTCCCGCTTACGGCCAACACCCTGCGGCTCCTGGTCATAATGCTGGTCACTCGCTCCCGGGTATCGGGCAAGCCATGCAACATCCCTCCCCCCAGTCCATCAACCGGGAACGCGAGCGAGACTCTAGAGAACGCGAGCTGATTGAGAGACAGCGCCAGGAGGAGATGGCCCACAGAGAGCGCGAGCAGCGCGAACGCGAACAGATTGAGAGACAGCAGCTGGAGCGACAACGTGAACAGCAGCACCACCCGGTCCAGAGCCACACAGGGTCTATCCCTATCCATCAGCCGGTGGCCTCGAAAGTGCCAAACTCCATTCACGGCCCCAATGGTCTGCTGTCAAATCTTGGGTCTAACCCGTCAAATGGCCCGCAAGGTTCGATGCCTACGCCGGGAGGGCCTGGTGGCATCTACGGCCCACAGATGCAGCATGGTGAAGGTACACCCAGGTCATACATGCAACATCCAGGTGGACCGCCCGGCCAACCCATGATGGGATTCAATGGCTCTGGCCCTCAGATTCCAGGCAATGTGGCGGCACTTGCCCAGGGCCAGCAGCCAATCCTGAACGTGAGTTACAGCACGCCGCGTGGATCAGTGCTCCACATCACGAAGCCGTGGCTTACGATTCCGTCACAGGATGCACTTAGTTATCTAGATCAGGTGAAGGTTCGCTTTGTCGACCAACCTGATGTGTACAACCGATTCTTAGATATCATGAAAGACTTCAAGAGCCAAGCGTGAGCGTTATACCGCCGCGGGAATCGTGCCTGACTAACTTGACAGCAGGATCGATACGCCCGGAGTCATCCAACGCGTCTCTACTCTTTTCAATGGACACCCCGCTCTCATCCAAGGGTTCAACACGTTCTTGCCTCCTGGATATCGGATCGAGTGTGGCACAGAGGACAACCCAGACGCGATTCGAGTGACCACGCCCTCGGGTACCAATACCTTGAGTATGCCCCGTGCTAGACACTCTCTGGATTCTTCTGGCGAGCTTGGTCCATCTGGTGGCATGGGCCCTCACGGACGCGCTGAATACTATGACCAGTCTCGACCTGGGTGGCAACAGCCCCAGCCTCAGCAGCAGCAGCAGCAGGGCAATCTTCCAGGATCATACTCTCCTGGGTCCCGCATGATGGGTCCTGGCATGTTTGGACAGCAAGGTGGTCAGGGTCAAGCTCAAGAGCATCACTTTGAATACCCAACCCAGCAAGAGCAACAAGCAGCAGCTGGAGCTGCCGCTATGGCTCATCAGCAGGATCAGCGAGGGGTTTCCCAGCTTCAAGGTGCTGCCTCTGCTGCTTCTGCGGGTCTCACGCGTCCGTCTTTGTTGCAGGTGTCAGCAGCGTCTCAACAGGGACCTAGTCTGACCCAGCCTATGAACAATTTGGCGGGCGTCGGCACCGGCATGCTGCAAGGCTCACAGGATTTGACCAAGCGTGGACCGGTGGAGTTCAACCATGCCATTAGTTATGTCAACAAGATAAAGGTGAGTACTAAACAAGCTATCCGTTATCTAGTTGCTAAGTCAGCTGACATTAAACTTCTGGATAGAACCGCTTTGCAAGTGCCCCTGAGATCTACAAGCAGTTCCTCGAAATACTACAGACCTATCAGCGGGAATCCAAGCCAATCGGGGATGTGTATGCCCAAGTTACCCAGCTCTTTAACACGGCTCCCGATTTGTTGGAAGACTTCAAGCAATTTCTTCCTGAATCTGCAGCGCATGCAAAGCAGCAGGCCGCAGCTCGTCAGGCCGAGGAAGCAGCTCCCATGAGCAATGTTCGCGGCGAGCCGAGCTATCCCAACGCCAATGCTCTTCCTTCTCAGACTCCGAACCGCGACGTCAAGATGCCCCCATTGGGCCAGTTCAATGTCAAGGACTCTGCGAAGGATGGCAAGAAACGTCGGAATGGGCCAGGCGCCCCATCTTCCATGGGCTCTTCAATGTCTGGTCCTTCGGCTGCGGATGCGGCACGCATGGGAGATATGCAGGCTAGGAACCCAGCTCTCCAAGCTGGTAATGCCAACAAGAGGGCTAAAGTTCATCATACGAAGCCTTCCCAGGCAGAAGTTCCTGCTGTTTCTCCCACCCTCGTACCTGCTTTGCCAGAACCAATTCAGCCGACTTTTTCCCTGACCCCTACTCAGGAAGAATTTGCTTTCTTTGACCGTGTCAAGAAGTACATCGGCAACAAGCAGACATTCAGCGAGTTCCTGAAGCTTTGCAATCTGTACTCCACCGACCTCATCGATAGGCATGTGCTTGTGAAAAGGGCGGCTAGTTACATTGGCTCCAACCCGGAGCTGATGGCTTGGTTCAAGCGCTTCATGCATGTCGACGAGCCAGAAGACAAGATCATTGATGTCAAAGCGAAACAAGACTCTGGACTTGTTAATTTGTCTCATTGCCGGTCCCTCGGGCCCAGCTATCGTCTGTTACCGAAGCGTGAGCGCCAGAAGCCTTGCAGTGGCCGTGATCAGCTGTGCTACAGTGTGCTTAATGATGAGTGGGCTTCTCATCCCACGTGGGCGTCGGAAGATTCTGGATTCGTTGCCCACCGTAAGAACCAGTTTGAAGACGCCCTGCATCGCATTGAAGAGGACAGGCATGACTATGACCACCATATTGAGGCGTGCACGCGGACGATTCAGCTTATCGAGCCGATTGTGCAGCAATTCCTCGTTATGTCGGAAGCCGAGTGCGCCGCGTTCAAGCTTCCGCCTGGCCTCGGCGGACAGAGCGAAGCCATCTACCAGCGGGTGATCAAAAAGATCTACGACAGACAACGCGGGGAGAAGATCATCAAGGAGATGTTCGAGCGACCAACCCATGTTCTGCCCATCGTTCTTTTCCGTCTTAAGCAGAAGTGTGAAGAGTGGAAAGCGAGTCAGGTAAGACATAAGCCAGATTATTTGTTATTTTGTGGATACTGACCTTGGCAATAGCGTGAATGGGATAAAATATGGCGTGAGCAGATGCAGAAGGCATACTGGCGTAGTTTGGATCACCAGGCGATTGCCAGCAAACAAGTTGACAAGAAGCTGTTCGTGGCGAAGCATATCCATACTGAAATCCAGAACAAGTTTGAGGAGAGCCGGAATCTGCGCAAGAGTGGGTATCAAACCGTCAAGCATCAGTTCGAGTTCACCTTTGATGATCCGGCTGTCATCATTGATGCCACGCATCTGCTACTTACTTTCATCGACCGTAACTCTGCTGGGTTTGGCGCCGACCCACAGAAGGTGATGACCTTCATCAAGGACTTTGTTCCCGTGTTCTTTGGCATGGACCGTGACACTTTCCACGTGTACATGAATGAACTCTCGAATGGCGCATCCCCGATAGATGAAGGTGACGATGAGAGTCTGGCCGCCGAGGAGTCTTCAACGCCGCGCAGTCGGAAGGGCATCAATGGCAAGAAGATCGACCTTCTCCGCGATGTTCTTGAGCGTCGTAGCGAGAAGGTACGCCGTGGTGACAAGGAAGGCAGTACGCCAGCCAGCCGCGATGGCACGCCAGATGCTGTTCTGGTCCCGTCGACTCCGATTCCCGATCCGACAGAGCCATTTGATGTGGCCGAGCTGAAGTGGATGGAGCACCCCGGGCAGGGGAACTTCAACCAACAGCGGGAGTACAACCTGAACGAGACGTATGAGAAGAAGACCCACCACTTGTACGCCAACCTCAATATCTACTGCTTCTTCCGCACATTCGAGGTCCTTTACTCGCGGCTGCTGCGCATCAAGCTGCATGAAAAGGATGCTCATGATGATGTCCGTCGTGCGCTAGTGAGCAAACCAGCGCAAGAGCTCAACCTTATTGACAAGTACCCTACGGAGTTCTTCTACGACTGTGACCCCAAGGCGAACCTGTACCAGCAGATCGTGCGCATGTGCGAAGAGGTCATCAAAGGGGATATGGAGCCTTCTCACCTGGAAGAGACGCTTCGTCGCTATTACCTGCGGAGCGGATATCAATTGTACAACTTGGAGAAGATGTTTGCAGGGATATCCAAGTTTGCCGGGGCGATCTTCAACGGGGATTCGAAAGACCGCAGCTCGGATATTATGAACCTCTTCTTCAAGGAGCGGGACAAGGAGGAGACCACGCACAACCAGGAGATTCAGTACCGCAAGCAAGTGGAACGGTTGGTCAAGGACGGTGACATTTATCGCATTACCTACGTAAGTATTTTCTATCTTGGGCTATTTAAACTGCTATCTAACACGAGTTGCCTTAGAACCCTACCACCAAGAAGACGACGCTGCAGCTGTTGACACCCGAGGATGCAACGTTGGAGAATGAGGAGCTGAGCCAAGAGGCGCGCTGGTCCTACTACGTCTCTGCGTACACGATGCGGGATCCGACCGAGGGTGTGCCGTTCTCCCAGATGCGCATGCCTTTCCTGAAGCGCAACCTGCCGGCCAAGCTGGAGCAGGAGGAGGAGTACAACCGCTACTACCGCCCGCTGGTGCACCAGGACGGGTTGATCATCCGCATCTGTGCCAACAGCTATCACATTCTGTACGAGCCCGGCAGCTACGACTGGTGGTGGCGGCCGACGGCGCCGGCCGAGGAAGCGGCCGAGGAGGTAGCCAAGGAGGAGGCGGCCGTGAAGGAGCGACGCCGGGATCGGTTTACGGAGAAGTTTGTCAATAACCCGCACTGGGCGCATGGCCTCAGCAAGGATCAAGTGGACGAATCGAACCAGCGATTCCGGTCCTGGATCAAGGGCTCTGACGGGGAGGCTGCTGCTGCTGCTGCTCCGGCGGAAGGCACCGAAACCGAGTCGAAGAACGACAAGGAAGATACGGAGATGGCTGATGTCGAGCAGTCTGCGGTGGAGTCGAAAGAGCAATGAACAGTGCTTTTCGCATAGAACAGCGCATGTCTGCAGCGTGCGGCCCAGTCAGCTTCTGCGGGAGATAGCTTGGACCCGCGGGCCTCCACACTGCACCATGTGTATGACGAATACAGGGGACTTCCTCTCTACATAAACGGTACATAGTGTCTCTACGGTTGCACGAATGGGAATATTTCTGCTTGTTGGAAAAACGAATCCGTCTGGTGGGATAGCGAGGAGAAGCGACCGGTCTGGGGGTGGACTGGAGCGCGCCTTGCGACCGGCAGGGGGAGAATTGTCTGGCGTGGGGTCGGGGGGATTGTGATTCTGGGACGGGGTCAACTTTGGGATGTTTTCTTTTTCTTTATTCCTCCTATTTATTTTTTTCTTTTCTCTTTTTTTGTGCTGCGATTTCAAATTCTTCTTCACTGTGTATGTGTAACTAGGACTATGGGAGTTGTTGATCAACCGATATTGAATGAATCGATTTGGATTGAAGTGGAGTGGAGTGAGTCTAGACTATTAGAGTATTGATTTAGGCGTTAGTAATGGGCGGAAGCTTGCTGGAAGCAGACGAGCAGAGAGACAGCAGAAACAGTAGTACAGAGTAGCACCGATCAGATCAGCTTAGCTTCCGTGTGGCCGAACAGCAGATAACCGATACGGGCCGAGACTAGTCCGTCGGCGCTTTTCTGGACGAATCTCGGTGCTGTCTGCTTTTTTAGCAATTGAAGCACATTCATCGCATTGGAATTGAGTGAGATAGATATAATCGATATTGGATCATTCGCGCTTGTCAATAGAATCATCATTTCCCCAGGGAGAACAAGTCACGGTTGAGTTCAAGGTGACGTGGGCGAGGCAACGCTGGACGAGGCAGAACTATGTTTGGCCGAGAGTTTGCCGGCGTGACGTCAGCATGAATGGACAGGAAACCCTTGAAGATGCAGACACCAAGAGGAAAAATTCAGTAGAAACCCACCTTTCACTGAGACAAGACACTGTCAGACCCATTCATCGCACTGTAGAAGAGTCTGCGACTCAGTTCCAGCACCATTGACCCTCCCTGCCCCAGAGGGAGGTGGTCCAGCAGCTGGCAAGACCTTAAATACATCCAGCTGGATGCAGGCTGTCTAGACTACTCCGACCTTCAGCATCGGAGTAATATACACCCTCCTGCATGCCCTTCCTGCAGCACTGGTCGATCGACAGCCACTCAGCAGCCGGCTATCCCCAGCGATCCCCCATAGTCCATGCCGGGATCCATATAGTAGTCGCTCCTTAGCTCCTTATCCCCGAAGACGCGCTGCTCCTCGCCTTCGTCTAGACCGGGGTAGTGGAACGTGGCGGGGGTTCCGTACCGTATTTCTACCTCTCCGTCACCCTCGTCTGCTTTCGTCTGCTTTCTTTCCCCAGTTCTTTTCCCTCTCTCTCTTAATCTTCCTTTCATCCCTCTTTCTCTCCTCTCCTCTCCACTCCTCATCTCTTCAACCTCTCCCTCTCCCCCTCTCTATCTCTCCTGGACAACTAGTCCTTCCCTCCTCATCTCCCTCCCTCCCTCACAATGTCTGCTTCTGCCCTCTTAAGAAGCCGTGTTCGCCGGCCTTCCTATCTCAACCGGTTGGCCAAGGCTGAAGATCTCATCGACCTCTTCCCCAATGGATCGTATATCGGCTGGTCCGGATTCACGGGAGTTGGTTATCCCAAGTAGGTTGCGCCCGTTGTCCCCGCGTGGCAGCCACAGAGGCTAATCCAGATTGTTCCCGGTTTTCAGGAAAGTTCCGACGGCGCTGGCCGACCACGTTGAGAAGAACAAGTTGGAAGGAAAGCTAAAGTACACCCTGTTCGTCGGCGCCTCTTCCGGCGCGGAAACAGAGAACCGCTGGGCTCAATTGAACATGATCGACCGTCGGAGTCCTCACCAGGTCGGCAAGGAGATTGCCAAGGGTATCAACAATGGTCAGATTAACTTTTTCGACAAGCATCTGAGCATGTTTCCGTCGGATTTGGTTTATGTAAGTTGTCATCGGATGCTGCTGGGATGCTTCTGTGGATAGCGACTAATGGTGTTGGTAGGGTTGGTACACAATGAACAAGCCCAAGAACCGCTTGGATGTCGCGGTTATTGAGGCATCCGCCATCACGGAGGACGGTGGCATCATCCCCGGTGCTTCCGTCGGTGCCTCTCCGGAGCTGATCCAGATGGCCGATAAGATTATCATTGAAGTCAACACGGCTAGCCCGTCGTTCGAGGGTCTGCATGATATCGTCATGTCGGACAAGCCGCCCATGCGCAAGCCCTACCTGATCATGCAGCCCGAGGACCGTATCGGTACTCCCCACATCCCGGTTGACCCTGAGAAGGTCGTGGCCATTGTGGAGTCCGACTACCCCGATCAGACTCAGCCCAACGCCCCCGAGGATGAGGGTTCCCAGGCCATTGCCACAAACCTGATTGAGTTCTTGAAGCACGAGGTCAAGCACGGCCGTCTGCCTGAGAACCTGCTGCCCATCCAGTCCGGCATTGGAAACATTGCCAACGCGGTCATTGGCGGTCTGAGCAAGGGTGGTGCCGACTTCACCAACCTCAAGGTGTGGACGGAGGTGCTCCAGGATTCCTTCCTGGACCTGTTTGACAGTGGCAACCTGGACTTTGCCACGGCCACTTCCATCCGCTTCTCCCCTGAGGGCTTCAAGCGCTTCTACGACAACTGGGAGCGCTACGCCGGTAAGCTGCTCCTGCGCCCGCAGCAGGTGTCCAACTCGCCCGAGATCATCCGTCGCCTGGGCTGCATCGGCATGAACACTCCGGTCGAGGTTGATATCTATGCCCACGCCAACAGCACCTGTGTCATGGGCTCTCGCATGCTTAACGGACTGGGTGGATCGGCCGACTTCCTGCGCAGCTCCAAGTACAGTATCATGCACACTCCTAGTACCCGGCCCAGCAAGGTCGACCCCACCGGTGTCAGCTGCATTGTTCCCATGTGTACCCACGTTGACCAGACCGAGCACGATCTGGACGTGGTTGTTACTGAACAGGTAAATACCCTGCTCGCTGCAATTTCTTAATATCCATACTAATAACTGATGTAGGGTCTCGCCGACGTGCGTGGTCTTGCTCCTCGTGAGCGTGCCCGGGTGATCATCGACAAGTGCTCTCACCCCGACTACAAGCCCATCCTGCAGGACTACATGGACCGGGCGGAGTTTGAGTGCCTGAAGAAGGGTATGGGTCATGAGCCTCACCTGCTGTTCCAGGCATTCAAGATGCACCAGAACTTGCAGGAGAAGGGCACGATGAAGATTACCAGCTGGGAGTAGACAGGAGGGTAGAGATATGAGTTATGTACAGAGGGGTGTTTATCATACGGTATCTATTTCTGCTGGCTTGGAGTAGAGTGTACAGTTCAAAATATTTACGGTTATTCGATAGCTGAATAATAAGGGAGATTCAAAGCAGGTGCCCGTATATTCAATACCGATGTCCCATTTACCTGCAAAATGGGTACATTTGAATACTGAAATCACTGAGTATGGCTAGTTATACACTATATTTGAGATAGCCAACTGCCCTATACCAGATTATCCCTGAGACACAGGAGGGTCTATATTACGATAACCAGATATGCCGTGATGCGGAGCATTTAAACACTATCAACAGTAGCCTTAACCCTCACCTGACTATTATCATCAAAGATATTGGCAGGCAGTGTCCACGTATTTTACCATCTATATAATCCCACTCAAGGTTATGAGTATGCTTGTCAGTAACTACCATGCTACAAACGACTATAAACTGTCCAGACTATAATATAGGAACATCATATCAGCCACTCAACATTTGCAACTGTATTATGAAATATCCGACTACTCCTATACTCCACTCCAACTCCCTTCCTCGTACTGAGGGGATGCTACCTGAACAACTTGACATTACCAGTAATAATGTCCAATCTGACTCAAAGCCGTTACTAGTATAGAGTAGTGAGTCCTTTACACTGCACCAGTTATCATGTAGTAGCTGTCCTCGAAGACAGAACTATATGTCGATAGCGTATTTTTCACCCTAAGTAACTACTAGCACAGCATCGGACCTGTCAGACCATACCCCCTCCCCCAGCAAGCTGAATAGCAAGCACACCATCATACACAATTAATAATGCCAGCAATAATCTCCGACAGTCTTATCTCCGCCCGAACCCAACCTTAACCCCAGATCGGACTTAGCGGACATAACCAGAACCATGGATGGATGGTTCTATACCACACATATACTTACTCTTCCAGTGCCCATACTATATAACAGTATCACTACTATATAACCAGAACATCCCCTGCCGTCCTACATGATCACCAACCACCAACCAATCTAACCAAGTACTCTCAAGCAATAAACCCAGAACATTTACAAAACACATCTGCACAATGACCACCCCAACTCCAACCACAATGAACTTCATCTCCATCAACAAACTCACCAACACCCGCGTCCTCCTCATCGGAGGCACCTCCGGCATCGGCTTCGCCGTCGCCCGCGCCGCCCTCGAACACGGCGCCAGCATCATCCTATCCAGCTCCAAGTTAGAAAAAGTCCAGTCGGCCATATCCCGTCTCCAACAACTCTACCCGGACCCATCATTCACCTCGCGCATTACCGGGAGGGCATATGATCTCAGTGATCAATCTACCCTCGAGACAACTATCATCTCACTGCTGGACTACGCTACATCGCCTTCCATATTCCCCACTACCACAACCACAACCACCCACGGAAACAATGAAAAGGTACTCCTAAACCACATAATCTACACCTCCGGCACCCGCCCCTCCCGCATCCCTATCTCTCCCACCACCACCAACCTCACCCCACAACTCTACACGCAAAGCGAAACGCTCCGCGTCCTGGCGCCGCTCATGCTGGGCAAGCATGCAAAGTCTTACATGGTGGATGAACATACCTCGTCGATGACGTTTACCTCTGGGGTGTTGGCGTCGAAGCCCGTACCGGGGACGACGTTGGGTGCGATGGCGGGGAGTGCCCTGGGCGGGTTGGTGAGGGGGTTGGCGGTGGAGTTGGAGCCCATACGCGCGAATGTGGTGGCGCCGGGGGCGGTAGAGACGGAGATTTTTGATGAGTTGGGGGTGCAGGAGAAGGAGGCGGTTAAGGAGATGTTTAGAAGGGGGACGGTGTTGGGGAGGGTGGCCGAGGCGGGGGATGTGGCCGAGGCGTATGTTTGGTGTATGAAGGATGGGTTTGTGAGTGGGGAGTGGGTGGGGAGTGATGGGGGGGCGTTGCTTAAGTCTGCGATGTGATGTATGTAGATGTAGTATACTACTTGGTGATGATATGTAGGGATGGGATGTTACGGAGGTAGTTAATTGATATGCGCTGCTTTTTGACTTTATTTTATGTTTATAGTAGTATTGAAATAGGCAGTATTAGTATGTATCTAGTCAGTCTACTGTAAGAGTTCGTTGAACTACTCCATCAGATACATGAATAGTGCAGATGCATAGTATACCAAGTATATCATAACACACTTCAACTCAAATATAATCAATCTAACGCTAATAAACCCAAACACCAAACACAAACCAACCCATCATAACCATAACCCATACTCATACCCTCATCCATACCCTACTCAGTAGGAGGCTTATAGGACCCCCCAATAAACCTACCCCCAACACAACAACCCATTAGCAACCACACTCACTCACAAACCAACAACCAAATAACCCTAAAGGTGGGATGGATGGATGCATACCGACTCAACAAACCACCCAGAAACCCTTGACTTTCTGCATTACTGCGCTTCGCCCAGCCTGATTCCACGTTGTAGTTCTTGGTATCTTGGAGGCCGGCGAAGAGGCCGCGGCCTGCTGTGGGGTGCTGTATTATGATTCATTAGTATGGGTATGTGTAAGAGGGATATAGGGAGGTATGAGGATGGGGATAGGGATAGATAGTATACGCACATGCTTAGGACGATTCTTCACCCATAGATCAGCTCCAAAGTCGTTTTGGAGGCGAGCGGAGGATGATGTAGATTTCATGGTGTATAATACAGTGTCAATTGTTGAGGTGTGTTTGTTTGATAAATGTAGTGATTCTTCTGTGTCCTTGTAGACTTTATCAAGATGTGTGTATTGTATTGTTTGTGATTCAATTGAAAGCTTCATCTGGTTGCATCTACTATATATACTCATCACCACATCCCAAGCCCTACAGCAGTGGCAGTAAATAGTATACGGCATCAATCGGAACCCAACTACCCGCCCTAACAAAGAAACAAAATCACATCGCACCATACTCCTCTACAATAAGTCAGGCATCTCTTCATCCGAATCACCTCACCTCTTTCACCTCCCCCTCGGGGTGGTTGTAACCGGGGTAGAAGGCATCACGTGTGCAGTGCATGGGACTCGGATGATCCGAGCGATGGCATCCCATAGATATGGATGGCCAATTAGATATGCTCGATTTGTAGAATCCTTTCCTCGAAGGATGCAAATGTGGTTGTGGTTGGGTTGTGTAGTGGTTGGGGTGGGTGGCATGATCCCGGTGTATACTTAGTGTTGTATGATGTACTTCCGATGGGTGTGGTGAGATGTGGCGCAGCAGTGCAGTGTAGTGTAGTGGGTGGTACGATGTGGTTGATTTTGTGGACTACGTCAGTAAGTGAGTACTGAGGTTATTAGGTTTGGTTGTTGAGGGGTAAGGATAAGAATTTAGGGACATATATAAAGGCTTGGGTTTCTGTTTATTGGATTGTGTTGGTTGGGTTTTATTCTAAGGAGGGTGGATGGGACTGTGTAACTTGCGACCGGTCGGTCGGCTTCAGCCATGTGGTTTCTCAACCATGAGTTGAGGTACAGGGTACGGAGGACTGATGTAGGGGATGTCATTGACATTATTGCTGAGGAATTATAATTGTCCTGTCAGTCGTGTCAATTTGACTCTTACAGACTTACAGTAAGAATGTGAGGTTAGTTATGTGTGGGTGTCAAACTGACACATTCCTCGGATCGGTCAGCCCAACTCAACACCCACCACACATCCATCCTCTCTCTACTTAGGGTATCTCGTAGCTACACAACCACTCACCCAATACATCATCCTCTACTCATAAGCGAGCATCGGCAATATCCGAATCTTCCAGAATCCGTCAATCAGCACTACAATAATACGAGTCAATCGCCCCAACTATATACCTCCGTAGTAATAAGTATCAGGGTCCTCACCCCCAAATTCAGGGGTCAAATAGCTACACCATCATGTCTCACACCCCAACGCGACTATTGAAAATTAGCCCAAATTCATCCAAGACAACACACATTCTCCAAATTTCAGCTCAGCCTTCCCAAAATCAGCGCACTCAACGACTTTCGTTCTCGCTCTCTCTTTCTCTCTCTCAGATAGGCTCAAGCCAAGCCTGGTCAGGGGCAAATCGGTCCGCAGTGGAGGAGACTCTGCACTGACCGGTCGAGACCGGGCGGACGATGATCAATTTCTATTTTGTAGGGTTAATGGGTATTTCTGGGTAGTAGTTCGGTGTGTGTGTGTGTGTGTTTTTTATAATTTTATTTAATAGTCAATAGTTTGGATGTTCGTATCGTACTTATATAGTACGTATTAGATCTGATCTGATCTGGGGTAAGTCGAAGTGATGGGCAGAGTGGTCAGGGGGGTTGAGGCGTGAGCACGAGGGGTTGGGTTGACTTTGGCCGCCACTGACAGACCCTGACTCGTGTGGAAGATGGAAAAATTCATGACGGTTACTTGTGTGTCGACTCGAGGTGAAGCCAAGAAGGCCAGGCCTCGTTTCGGTTCTCGGCATTGCTGGAGTGCCAGTGAGAAACATCTCCACAGAGAAAACACTTACTAGGAAGTAGGAACACTCGAATGAAATGAATTGATCTGATCGGCGTGGGTTGCTAGGTTGGTGAAAGTGAAAGTCAAGTCAAGGTGACTCTAGATGGATCAGCGAGTAAAAAGATAGATAGTTAGCTAAGTGAATCCATGGATTTATTGACAATTATTGACTAGGAGATGATGCGGAGGGAGTGAACCTTGCGCCGGGTGATAAACTCAGTACAGTAAGTAGTGTTGGATATTCTGATTATATTATTACTATGGATAGATCTCAGTAAGCCGACAGCAATCTCCAGGGGCAATGGCAATGGAATGGTAACCGGATAGTAGCCGAACGGTGGCTGTCAGACTCAGAAGTTAACCGGGGCTGTTTCTATTCTTATGAATTCGCCTCTTTCTGCTTCAGCCTTCTGACTGCTGCTTTTGCCTCTCTGTGTATCTGCTTGTTTCATCCAGCCTTTCAGACCCCGTACCTGAAATAACGCTCTCCTATTAACCGTGCAGAGGCTGAGTCCAACCATGGGTCGGTCTCTGGGCCATCCATTATTGCGCCCGACTTTTGCTCATTTCTGGCTGTGTTGCCCTTTGGTCGCTAATCCGGGTTGCGGTGGGTCCCCGGAAATTAAGGTGCTTGCTTTCATCCAATGACATCCCGCAAAGTCAGACAGTGGAGGCAGCCACTGTACCCGATCGGGCAAAGCCACAACACCTCCAGGCTCAGTCCTGCAGGCGGGTGGATCCCTGACTTTCCAGTGTTCCTTGCAGCTGCACAAAGCAGCCTCTATTGCTGAATCTCATTTCACTTTGGGGTGTTGTGTGGTTGCCACTCTGCTAGATGGTTGTGACTGCTTTGAATATTGTTGTACACTAAACAAATTCCTTATGCTATACATACAGGAATACGGAATAACTACAAGTTTTAACGATGGATTGTTCCCTGTCATCAGGAGACAGATGTGATAGAGGGGTGCCTGCGTAGGAGTCCTCCGTCTGGCAATAGAGTTTTCCTTCCACCATCGGAAAATCTTAATCCAAATCATCCATCTCCGGGGTCAGTTTCTGTGTCGAGCAAGTCAGTAATGAGTAGACACGTCGTTTGACTCCTCTTCCACTCATCGATGGCCCATCGACCCAAAAAATAGTAGCCAGACCCTGAATGTCAGGATTGCAGCTAACGGTCACCGTCACCGCATTGGGGGAATGGAACAAAAGATATTCTGAAACCCCCAAGAAGGGAATGGACGACGTGCAAACTAATACTTTACTTGACTCCACCAGGCTATCCGAGCCGTGCGGACATCCAGTCCAATAGCGGCCAGTGGGTGCCTGGCATCCATCCATCCATCCACCAATCCATCCACTCCCGCCCCCTTTTGTTTGCTTGGGGGCTTTTTCCCTGCTGGGCCAGACTTGCCTCTTTTCCCTTTCCTTCTTCTTATTCTTCTTCTTCTTCTTTTTCCCTTCCCTCCCTCCCCTCTTTTTTTGTTTTTCCCTCTCGGGTTTGTTTTGCAGATCGTTTGTCTCTTTCTCCCTCTCAGAGAAAGATATCAAAAAGAGGCCGGCGTGCCCTTTTTCTCCCTCCCTCCCTCCCTCTCCCGCGTTCTCTTCTCACTCTGCAAACTTGACCACCGCTTCACTCTTTTAGCGGGCATTCATTGCGATTGAATTTGTTCCCGAACCCCCCTCATTGATTTCACCCTTACCGTCAAGATGAAGGGTGCTTTCCTTGCCACTGCGGCTGCCCTCGCCGGTACCGCTCTGGCTGATGGCGGCGCTCACATGCGTCGTCACGGTCACGACTCTTTCCACCAGCGTCGTGCCGTTCAGGCTGAGCCCGAGGAGTCTTGCGGCTGCACCACCGAGGTCATCACCGTCTGGGGAACCCCTACCCGTGAGTCAATCCTTATCCCCCGCATTCCAACATTCCAGTTGATGCGACTTGCGATGTGGACAATACACTGACTGACCATCACAGTCGTGCCCGCTGCGGTCCCTACCACTGTGACTTCCGACGTCGTCACCACCCTCCACTCCACCAGCTACACCACCGTCACCGTTGTCGCTACCCCCGGCGAGTCCACTGCCCCTGCTGAGGCTGCTACCACTGCCGAGGGTGCTGGTGCTACTGGCGGTGCTGCTGGCAACGCCTCCCCCAGCGAGTCTACCCCCGCTGCTGGTGGTGCCACCGGTGGTGCTGCCGGTGCTGCTTCTGGCACTTCCTCCACCCCCGAGGGTGTCGCTGCTACCGGTGCTGCTGGCGGCAATGTCGGCCAGGTCTCCTCCTCCACCCCTGTCGCTGCTGCTACCACCTCCAGCCAGGCTGTTGTCCCCACCCCGGAGACCACCACCTTCTCCTCCACTGGTGTCTACACTATCCCCGCGGCTACCGTGACCGTCTCTGACACCACTTCCGTTGTCGCTGGCACCACCACCTCCCTGGCTAGCGGTACCCAGACCTACGGTGGTGTCACCACCATCGTCGAGACCTCGACCACCGTCACCTGCCCCTATGCCACCGTCTCCCCCTCTGGCTCCACCGTTACCAGCATCATCCAGACCACCACCTACGTCTGCCCCGAGGCCGGTACCTACACCATTGCTCCCACCACCACCTACGTTCCCTCCAACACCGTTGTGACCTACCCCACCGTCTCCACGGTCACCCCCGGCACCTACACCCACAGCGCTATCACTGTGACCGCCACCGTCACTGACTACACCTACACTTGCCCCTTCGCCAACGCCAACGAGCCCACTAGCACCCCTGCTGCCGCTACCACTAGCGCTGTCGTGGTGACCACCCCGGCTCCTGCCACCACCACCGCTGCCGCTGTCACTTCCTCCGTTCAGTCTAGCACTGTGGCCAGCTCCAGCGCCGCCGCCAGCTCTGGCGTCAGCGCCAGCGGCAACAGCATGGGAATGACCTACACTCCCTACAGCAACTCCGGTGGTTGCAAGTCCAAGGCCACCGTCGAGTCGGACATTGAGACCATCGCCAACAAGGGCTTCACCCACATCCGTCTCTACTCCACTGACTGCAGCACCCTCGAATACGTTGGTTCCGCTGCCAGCAAGTACGGCCTCAAGCTGATCCTCGGTGTCTACATCTCCAGCACCGGCACCTCGGGTGCTCAGGACCAGGTCACCGCCATCACCGAGTGGGGTCAGTGGTCTATGGTCTCCCTCATTGTTGTCGGTAACGAGGCCATCTCCGACGGTTACACCACCGCCAGCGAGCTCGCCACCTTCATCTCCTCCTGCAAGTCCAGCTTCGAGGCTGCCGGCTACACTGGCCAGATCACCACCACTGAGCCTGTCGACATCTGGCAGGAGTACGGCAGCAGCACCCTGTGCTCTGTCGTTGACGTCCTCGGTGCCAACATCCACCCCTTCTTCAACTCCGAGACCACCGCCGCCGAGGCCGGAACCTTCGCCTCCACCGAGGTCGCCCTCCTGAAGAAGATCTGTACCAACATGGATGTCATCAACCTCGAGACCGGCTGGCCGAGCAAGGGTAACGCCAACGGTGCTGCCGTCCCCGGTACCACCGAGCAGGCCACCGCCATCAAGGGCATCCGCGAGTCCGTTGGAGAGCTGTCCGTCTTCTTCTCCTACGCCAACGACCTGTGGAAGGACCCCGGCGAGTACGACGTTGAGCAGTACTGGGGTTGCATTGAGCAGTTCTAAGCGAGTCCCGCTTGATTTGTCTATAGTTTCCTGAACAATTTTTTCTTTTGCTTCCGATCTGCTTGGAGTTGTTTATAATCCTGTATCTGTCGTCCCGGGTACATTCATCACGACAGGACTTGGCTTATCTTTCCCTTCTCCGTACAGTTGAAAGTTTCATATAGTAGATATAACCTTTGGTGTCTGTTTCCTTTCTTCATATACTCTTATCTATGTGTCTTGTGACCGGGTTTGCGTCTCTGCTTTTCTTTGTTGTATAGGCTAATCTTAACGGCTTACGAAGATACCTTGTAATATCTGTAGAGTGTATTCCTGCTAAACCGTTTTTTATACTAGGGATAGATGAAATCGGCCTAACACCGCAGCCTCTCCACCAACATAACAGACCAATAACCAGGTCTCCTTGAGGATAATCCAGTCTTTGACTAACCACTCTCAATACCCCATTATTCAAAGCCTAGTACCCCCCCCTCGTAAATAAAGTAACCCCAAATCCCACAAACCTACACTCTGAAGCATTGACTCTCTCGTCCTCTTCCATGAACCGAGGGGCGTATATACTATAAATTCTATCTTCTTAGTTTAAGATTGTTTAAATTGTCTTCCACAACATCATCCTCTTCTTCTTCTTCTTCTTTCTTACCATGATCCTTCCGGGTATAGGTTATAGCATTATAGCACATTGTGACACACTCCTTGATAGTAACTTCCTACTCACCAGCTACCTACCTACTACTTTCTAGAGAATCCCAACATCCTGAACAGCCTACCACACAACACTCGAGCCTTTGAAAGGTAGTATCAAATTCTAGAACCTCATAGTAGACTATAGACCATCAAACCCGAAGGGTCATAAAATAAAATGAAATCAAACGCATGACAGATCGTGGTTATATAAAGAGTAGGGAAAAAAAATAGAACAAAACGGCCCCTTGGTTGGAACTATGCCCCGACTGATATCTGCTCATACAAAAGAAAAACAGCAAGCGTCAATGCCACCAAACATCGTTAAAGTATATGGAAAGAGCTCATGGAACCCTTAATAGAATTCTGTATTCGGCGGGAGTCCCTCAGCCTGGTCATGCTCATCTCTCCGGATTCATTAATAGTTATTAGCATACTAAACAATTCATTCCAACTGTAGACAGCAAATGGATAAGCCATACTAGAGCTTCCGCCAATTCCTTCACAAGCGCAATTTCGTGATCACAGCGGGCCAGCCAGCTGTTCAGGTCCAAAGTCGGTGAAGGTTCGTTGGAACATCAACGTCAATCCAGACCAGCCTATCGGGGTTTTCATGGACAAGGAGAAGGTTTTTGGGGTAGATAGATGTCTTGATGGTGAACACCCGCTCTGTTGTATCTCATGCATTTCCTCAATGGCTGGCCTGGGGATAGAGCGCGTCCGAGTAGTTCACGCAGTTTTAAACTCTCTGCATCTGGGAAAATATTCTAGCAATATTGTTCTCGGCATTCGCTTGTTTTGGGCGAAAGATTGTAAAGCAGGCTGCCAGCTGGAATGCTGCAGGATC